GAAAATTAATGGCGAATTAAGGGCAATTTTGCGGCTGCGTTGGACCGCATTGAAAACAAATTGATGGAAAGATTTGAGGATTTATAATACTGCGCTGAAACTTGCCAGGTTTATTCTCATAATATGAAGGAAAAATGTATTAAATTCCGGGCAATTGCCGGAATATTTTGGAATTTTGTGAAGTTATAGCGCATTACAAAAAAATTTCACTTCTACATCTCAGGAAAAATTAAATGGATACTGCCAGGAATTTAAAGGTAAATGAACAATCTAATTATAAGTCAGTTCCATTTTTTTTTTATTCCTATATATCTAGAGAAAGCCAGAAATACGGAATTATTGAATTTTTGAGCCTGCGATATAAATCGAAAATAACACCTCAGGTGTGAAAATTGACACCTCGGATATCAATTTTCTAAAAGCTCAGCTCTCGCTTAATAGGTCTCTATATAATTTATATTTTGCAAGATTAGTTATTATTTGAGATATCCTTTTTTCAAATGGAATGGTTTATAGCAGATCTAATACCCGTTAAAAGAATCAGTAAGAGATATGGCTAGATAGATAGATAGATAGATAGATAGATAGATAGATAGATAGATAGATAGATAGATAGATAGATAGATAGATAGATAGATAGATATTCTGTTTATTTCACCCACTTGCAGCAATAACTGAATTGTTGGGGAAGGTCATTGTCACATACAATTAACCATTTACATACATTCACTGAAATTTATAAGTTACAAAGTCATTAATTCTTCTGGTATGACCATGTTGACGTCTTGGAAGTTGGACCCTGATACTGTAATGAGACTCAAAAGCGGCAGGAGAGGGGATGATGTTCTAAGACAGTGTTGATTTTTGAAATAGCCTGCTAGAACGTAAGTTGCAGGGTAACTGTATGTAGGTTCAATAAGTGTGAATAAAAGTTTTATTGTTTGTTGTTGTTGTTGTGGATGAAATGGCAGGAGTAATGCTGTACTGAAAACAAGTAACCACTGGTTATTGGAGAAAACATTATTTATTGCTAGTGAGCTACAGCAATAATTGAGAGCTTTTGTCCTTGTTTTTGTACATAATCACACTTGACAACTATTTTTGTAACAGATGCGAAATAGAAATGACATGTAAAAATGTAATTGAGGATGCAGTTCGTGAAGGGTTATGAAAGTGATCTTAACTTATAATTATTGACATGAAGGCATTCATTAGCACTGAACCTCTGCAAATCGTTTATGCAAGTGTACATAGTTATTCGTGTACATGCACGAAACAGATATCAAATGCAAGAAATGTCCACATAAACGTCAGGTGATCGAGGTGATAGTTTTCTCAATTCTCAAAATTGTGAGCTTGCACAGACGGTTGCCACAGCCACAGTTTTTTTAGTGGAATGTGCACTTTCCCAGCTCTCCATAACCTTTGCCAGACCGTCTAACCCAGTTGGAAGACAAAATTGATCCTCGGCAGTATGCTCGCAACCGACATTCGACGTCAGATGCTCTTCTATACATGCTTCAAGCGATATATGTGCTCGGATCTTTTTCGCTGATTTCGCTAAGGGATTTGTTCTTACTGACCACACTATTCTAATTCAAAAACTGGACAAACTGGAAGTACATCCTGTACTCCTGAGCTGGATCGCTGCCTTCTGACCAGCTGTCAGCAGGCTGTCCGGATTGAAAGAACGCTGTCAGACTGAAACACTGAAAGGAGGAATACCCCAAAGGATCAAGCTGGGTGTTATTCTTTACAGTTAAGACAAACAGACTGCTGTCTGACTGGCATCTGCATATCAAATTCGTAGACGACACATAAGATATAGAGATTATCCCAAGGAACTCTATCAGTCTCTTGAACTGTGCTGCCTCCACTACGAATCTCTTTTTCATGAACATCCCATGAAAACGTGTTGAAAAACCCATGAACCCTTTTTCCTGGCCATGAAAGGAGCGATTTCGGATTTCATGGTGCTAAACTAAGTCATGAAGTTTCCATGAAATTCTTTACCAGTTATTTTTCATGAACCATGAAAAGTTTCCAGAGCCATGAATATGGATTTTCATGGGTCATGAAAGTCTCATATATTTTAGACCAATACATTTCATGACCCCTGAAAAGGCAGTTACAGCCTAGCATATATTTCATGGGTCATGAAAGTTCTAATGGCCCATGAAATTCCCATCAAGACACAATTAAAAACCCATGAAAGTGTCCAACTCACAGTAGCACAAAAGTAGACGTTAATGCGTTAGAGAAATGTTGCGCACATTTATTAATTTGTAATAGCTCTTGCCAGATCTGCTTAGGTGAATAAAGTTCATGATGACACATACTTATGTTAAAAAAATTTGTGTGATTAAAAACTTGACAGTAACTGGTTAGTCCAAAGAAATAGCTTCATAGACTCCCGTTAGTAAAAATTTATTATACTGTTTGTTTCAATCTCTTGTAACTTAAAGTTGCACTTTATGATTCAACACCATTTTGACTTCTTATAGTTAGGAAGGTAAAGTTCTGGTTCTCAGAAGACTGAAGGTCTTGTTGTTCATATTCTCTGTCATCATATGAAATTTTAAAAAAATGTGGGAACTGTCCACGTTGCCTCACTGTCTTTCCATACTTGTCTTATTCTTTTTTCAGGCTTAACGAACGACAAATAAAAATAGGGAAACTGACTTCAGTCCAGACTCCCGACTAATTGCCTTTGGGCCTGTTCACTTCTACTGCAGCTATTCCCGTGTTTTAATACTAGTGGTAGACTGCAGGTATTCAGTGCATGCAAACCACATGCATAGTAATTTGTTAGTTCATTGAAGTCATGTTGCCTAAATGTCCATTCTCCAATTGATTAGCCTGATCACATACAACACTCTTTAGTACACAACACACCTTGGATTCCGTGGCGCGATTTACCTGGGAAGATCGAAGGGCCTCTGCTTGAGTTACCTATTCACTGTCCATAAATAATACTGAAGTCTACATGTACCTCAGCGATCGCAAAGTTAGCTTGATACAAACCTACTTCCTTACTAGGAAGTTTCACGTTTTAGTCGCGTGAAGGAAAGGCATAGAAATGTACAAAAGCGTAACAAACATGGAAAGGCCGGTTGTCTTGCTAATCTAAACCTATTGCTTTTTTGCCGTTCTCGTTGCCGTCGCCGTCGTCATTAGTTAAGCTCCTTACTAAAAGACGGCAGGGGCGTAAAAAATAGAGCGCAAGCTGATACGCAATGGGCGCGTAGGAAGGAGCATACTCAAGAGGAGAGAGGTAGCTCGCTCATTCTCCTTCTCTTTCTCCTCACACGTTTCTTGCTTCCTCGACGTCAGTAAGGAATGGCTGACTTTTAATAAAATGATTGATTATTGTTTGAATGGACAGGGTGACTGGCCGAGCCGTAATGCTAATCGGCTAACTACTATTGAATACTACTAAATAACTGACTGATGGCTAAGCCTACCTTTTTAAACTGACTGATTAACTGATCCTAATTGCCCTTCTGATAGTAGAGAGGTTAAGCATCACTTTTACGTCAAACGGCAAACGCGCAAATTTCTACCACGTGACCAAGTTTTACTTATCGCTTACTGTTCATTATTTCTGCACCTAAATTAGTAGTTTCACGCAATTTTTCATCCATAAGAATTGTTTTGACATGTTTTTATCTGCTCATTTTCTGTTTTGAGAAATTCTCATCTTGAAACTGACGTTTGCCGTTTTCCGTATAACTGAAGCTTAAATTCTCTATTGATTGACCACTGTTTTAAGGAACGTGAAAAGGGATTTTAACACGTCGCATCATTTGATGCAATATATCTGAAGCTAAGACTTTTAATCAGTCTCTTAAGATCTGTAATATAATTTTTACTATATTTTTTTCAGGCGCAACGTGTGCTCCAGGCAGACTGTACAGACACAGTCATACTATACGGTCACCGCAACCACAGTCTACATAACCATAACTAGAAGATGCGGTTTTCTCTGGTGGGGTAGATGTTCTCGGTCAAAGTGAGCAAGAAGATTGCAACACTCAGTGATGCTATGTTTACAATATACCGGATAGCTTTTCGTGCCGACAAGAAACGCTATCCGGTAAAGCATGAACACCAATCCAATATGTGACTCTCCACTTTACAGATCGGCGCGGCGCATCTTCGCTCCGTTACAGAAATCGCGCTGAAATAATCGTTCTTATGTGTTAACAGAAGCCCTATATCCGGTATGGTTTTGTTGCCGGCGCAAAAGCTGTCCGGTGTAGTGTGAACATAGCCTTAGGTAGAGTAGCTGATTGGCAACAACATACTCAGTGTGATAGATATTGATGCTGAATGTGCAGTGTCTACTAAGTTCAAAGTGAGAATTTCACGTTGGCTATTTTCACTCCAACTTTCACCACCTTACCTATTTGCTGACACCGTGCACCCTTTTTTGGGTCGTGACATTTTCGTGAAGGCACACTATGTCATACACGTACGACCAGTTAACGGCTGACACCTTTACGTGAAAGACTATAGGAGATACAGGCATTTGGCACGGAACACGCTTCCAGTTTTTCTCCAAGGTCCTTTCCTTTTTGGGGCTGAGGAGTGGTTGGAGCAGGGAGGGAGGGAAAACGCCTAAAAAAGGTACTTGTTCACTTGTTTTCAAACTTTAGGTGATTTGGCACAAAGAATCACGTGCGAAACAAGCATTTTTTTCTTAATGTTATATTTTTGTTAAACCTTGAATTGGTTTCATTTTAAATTCAATTTTTATTACATACATGTTACATAAAAGCTGTGGGGTATTTTGATTTGTTCTCCGTAAGTGCCGACTTCATTTCCTAAGCCTCGCTTCTGACAGCTGGCGGTTTCTTCTCCTTCCAGATGGGATTCTTAAACTTCCTTTGTTTAACTGATTTATTGCTTTCAGTTATTTTGCTCGGTCCAACTAGCCTTTGACGTATAAGTACTATCGAGGATTGTTTACTCTTCTGCATTTTTAATCAGTGCATTGCATGGTAACGCTTTATTGTCTTTATTTTAGGGTAAAAACGGTCTACCGCTCTGTTCAGAGAACAAGAAGCATCTCCGTGACAGTCATCTATTGCTGTAGTGGATGGAAGAAGGCTTACTCCAGTTCGAGAGAATGTAGACGAGGTACATTCAAGAGTTTGTGCTACAATAGGGGGCATTTCAATGTCATTGACCAATAAGACGTGGCATTAATTATTTCCTTCACAATTTGTGAACAAAATAGAAAAGAATTATATGAAGGAACATCATCGCAGTAATATAAGGTATCGCAGAGATCAAGGGTTCGATTCCCGTACAAGCCTGAATTGTTTTTCAGGCTTTCTTTTTGCAACTGCAAAAGTTGCGTATATAACTGCGATGATCTTCCTTCATATAATTCTTCACACCACAGTTCACATATATGATTTTCATATATTCACTTCAAAATACAAAAGATTGTGCAGCGTCAAGGAGCTTCCAACATGGTTGTTTTTATCTTTGATGTTTGCCGTCTTTTGCAACCAGTCTCCTCTCCTAACTATGCTTTGCTTCAGCTCCCTCAGTTATCGTTTTATCCACTCTAAATCACTCATTCCACGTTAAGTGGGTAAATCACCATTATTTTGTGTCCATGGCAATTTTTGGGGACTCAATGGTTTTCCCATAATCATTTCGCTGAAAAATACTTAAAATATGCCCAAATAAATAGCGACAGTACCCATTTGTGCTCCTGTTAAAAGACAGTAACTTTGAGGGAATCAAGGCCGTAAGAGTCCAAAAAATGCAATTTTGCTATGTCTAAGGAGAGGGTGTGTATAGAAGCTTACGGTATATTTTTGCTGTCGCCTTTATACTTCGGAAACTAATCAATCCAATTTCTCGGGAGGGACCTAATCTAAAGTCCTACAAAATTATTTCTCACTGCAGGTCAGTTTTGTTGCTTTTAACTACAGTGAACTGGTATCCGCTATTTTTATGAAACTTCCGTTACGGATCTGAGGGCAGATCACAAATGGCCCTTGAAATGAATATCGCGAATGATTTACATCGGGTAAATATTACTTAATTTTGCTCTTTTCGACACGCAATGCGTAAAATGAAGAGCAAAAGCCTGTGGAAAGAAATTGTATCTCACATACAATAGCAGGATTTAGGGTGAAGAGTTAAGATTCTAACTTCCGTTACTCAGATTACAGTGGGAAAAAATGAAAAGTGAGTCGTGCTGATTTTTGTGGTGACGGAGGAACTAGTGAGGATTATTATGGACTATGTTTTTTTTTCCGTGTTATTAATTTCACTTGAAGATGTAACACAAAAGGTCGAATTTTAACTTCCGTTACCAAGAATTTGTCCGGTCTCTATAACATGGGATAGGCGTCAGGTAAATTTCGGGAAATGCTGTCTCACGATTACCTCATTAAACAACTCAAGCCTGGATGATATCTAGTGGAGATTTCGAAATAAGTAATCCTCACACGTGTTCCACTGGTAAGACATCTCTCTGTCAAGTCTCATAAGGGAATTTTAGCTGAGTTTGTGGTTCGCGGAGTTTTCTTGCATAGTTTTAAGAAGTATATTTTCCCTTGAAACATTTCTAGGCCGTTTAGGAATATAAGAATAATATATTCTTAACAATACAAGAATATGAGAAAGGCATTTTATATCATTTTTTTTTTTTTGAAGTAACGGAGGTTACACAAAACAGGAAGTGAATTATCTTACGCCGTTTTTACTAGTTCAACCCTCTTTTCTGTGAATGGACTTTGCAATATTCATGTATTACAATTCTTGTATGAATTCTAACATATTGCCATGAATATTGATATGTATATTTTTTTACTTTCAATTCGATGTATTTTGCTTATTTTCTTGTTTTCTGCCTCGTTCCATCACACCCAAAAATTCCAGAAATTTCATCCAAAATTGTTTAGCATTAATTAAATTCAATAGAATAAGTTATATGCATTGTTATTTAAGACGGTCTGTAATCCCAAAAGTAAGTAGAAATATTACGTTCTTTCTGTAACTTCCGTTACCGAAACTTATTAGCTTATCACTCGTTTTCTACTAGATCACACGTTTCCAAACTATATTACAGGTAAACGACACGTTCTTTCCTACACATTTAGCAAAATAATGTTTAGCCTGACGGCCTTTTCAAAGAAAACTGGCAATAAAAACAAACCAGCAATTTTAAATTCTTAATCTTGCTACGTCATACCAAAGTACACCATGGCAGAACAACTTGACTTTTTCATTCCTTGAGCTACTGACTTGACTGAACTGTAAAACTCAGACCTTAGGGTGCCAATGATTTCATTTTAAACATTTTACAGTAAACTAAATTGAAAAAAAAAACATAGATATATTGCAACACTGTGCTGTTTCAAGCCATACAAAATATCACAAGACATGCTATTAAATAACAGGCTATAACGTTTTATAGATAAAAGATATGTTAACCAAATTTTGGTTTCTCATCCTTCAATAATACATCTTTGAGTTAAACTAACTACTTGTCAAATTTGTTGATCTTCGATTTTTCAAAAATCCTTGGCACATTTTACCCACATAAGGTGGAATAGGTGAAATAAAACCTATAAATCGGAATCTTCAAACTCCACAGTAAAATATTCTCAATAAATGAAGGTCTAAGTGTCTACAGAAACCGTGGTTTTACGTTGGTGGGAAAGTGAAAAACAAATCATGATTTCTGTTTTCTCAACTCAGTTGATAAAGGTCATTTACTGTCGTAAAAGAAATGCTAACTTTGGATAGCAATAGCCCTTCGACAGGGCAGAGTACCCCTTCTATACGGTCACCAACGGGCCGTAATAACTGGGTGACCGTATTAATGAGCGTTTCTTTACAATAAAAGGTATGGCCATTTTTGCCAGGCGGCCAAAAAAAGTGGCCGTAATAACGAGGTGACCGTATTACCGTGGTGGCGGTAAGGCGGGGCTCCACTGTATTTACCTTCTAAGGGCTTGAAACTAGAAACTAAGGGCTTGAAACTCTTGAAACTAGCTGTGTGGTCGAAGAACTGAACCCTGATGGACCTAGGAGCCGTGTAGCTGTCGGATCGAGTGTGTAGATCATCGAATTTTTATACTTAATTGATGTCAATGAATACTTTTTTAGGTACAGAGCAGAGTATTGAATTTTAAAATGTGAACATGTGGTGAGATATGCTTCGAGAAGAGTAAAGAATTAGATGTTAAAACCGAACTTGATTGTATCACACACAATTTGACACGACGCACCCCCTGGGAGGGGTAACCTTTAAATCTGAGATATGCAAATACGTGCCGCTGGGTGGGGTATGGCTTTAAATTGCTACTGTCCTCAGAGGGTTTTGTTTTTATCGGAGGCATCCTAGTTATGTTGTGACAAGACAGAATGATCTAAGTTGTGATAAATAATGAATATTAACAAACAGTTTGAATTTATATTATAATTTTTTTTCCATATATCAGCGATATGTTCTCAAGGATGTCATTCCAGTCACGGGAGCTGTGTTGCACCCGATAACTGCCAGTGTCAATCCGGTTGGACTGGTAACAACTGTGCTCAAGGTATTCAGACTTCCCCCGTGGTCCAATTATGTCCAGAAATCTTCATGACTCGAACCTCATTTACCGCTTTTTAATTAATTCATTATCTGTAATCAGTTCCCAAATGACTTCATGTTTGACAGAACTGCTTGCGTTTGGGGGAGGATTAGGACTAGGGAACACTTCGTGTGGGCTCTTTATCGCAAAAGAATGAATCTCATAAGGGTATATTTCTTGTCTTCTTGTTCTTGTCTCTTTCACTTAGGTAAAAAAAACAAAGACAATATTGATTTTTGCCATTTTACTCATTGCCCACGGGCTTCTTCTTCACCATTATCTTCATCATTATCTCCTTATTTCCCCAGTTGTGTTTATCCAGTGTTTATCCGTTTTTCTTTCATTTCATTTCATATTGTTCTTATTCCTACTGCATACAAAGAGGTGCTTAATATTGCTCACTCTCGGTGAAACGACTTTTTAAATGCTAGTCTCTGTAGTAAGCTTTCTGTCAAGACACAAAGAGAAAACTGGAGGGAGAGGGTAGGTAAGGCAGACAGAATTGCAGGGTCGGCTACGCTCTCACTAAGCAATTTCTTTGCCCTTTTATTCACTTCTCTTGTTCCAACTGTCACACTTTGCAGGAACAGCAACTTTAGCTACCCACAGGTTGCCTTCTTGCTAAACTCACGGAGATCACTAATTTTAATTGGAATGCCTGATTTTGCTAAGTTCAAACGCAGTTTCTTTTATTTCGCTTTATAGACGTCAATGAATGTGCTGTAAACAACGGTGGATGCGATCAAGTGTGCATTAACACACAGGGTTCTTATCAGTGCGGTTGTAATCCTGGATACACCAAAACTGGTCATCAATGCGATGGTATGTTAACAGTTAGCCTTCCAAGCAGACGTTCTTAGGGCCTCGTCATGCGTTCCCCACGAACGGAGATATGCTAACTTCCGAGTTACGATTTCGAGTTGGATTTTCTAGTTGGGATTTCGCTTTAGGATTCGAGTCAGGATTCGAGTTGCATTTTCGTATTAGGATTCGATTTGGAAACTTAATTTTGAAATAAAGTGTTGACAGCCTAAACACGACTCACAAGCGCGTGATAGTGTGAGACGTGACTGTAGAGTTCGCTTGGATTAACCCGCGATCAGACGTTCCTTTTTCGGGGATAGCGCGAAAGTCGGCGGACAGGTGTGGGAGTATTAAGATAATCGTTCTCTATAATAAGAGATATTTTCTTGTTATACTCTCGCGATCACACCTAGCCTGCATAACAGGCGCTTTATGAGCCAAGGGAGACGAACATAAAATAATGCAGGCTAAATCACACCCCGATACATTCTGTACTCAGTCGAAAGAGGACGATGTGTAAACCGCTGGCCATTCCTAACTAGAAAATCCAACTCGAACCCTAACTCGTAGCCTGCGAAAACGGCCGTTTCTCCTCGCTCCTCTCCACTGTAGACGTTTCGAGAGGAGGAACGTCTGCGACTCAGCAACGACAGAAATTCCATACTGATGACTTAAAATCTGTCTGGAATCCGGTCATAAGCGCTGATCGCACGACGGAGTAGTTACATTGTTTTAAGTATTGTTTACGAATGACAGACAGGCCTGGGCTGAGCTGCTCAAAGCATGGTTAGCTTTAACCATTGGTTAAGCAGTGTCAAAACCAATACGTTGTCAAGGTATTAAACGCTGGTTAACGCTAACCATGCTTTGAGCAGCTCAGCCCAGGCCTGTCTGTCATTCGTTATAAAAAACAGACAATATCTGCGGAATATATTCTTCTCTAGAAGCATTTGAGTTTTGCTGGAGCTTGTTGCAGATGAACACAACACTTTACCAAAATCGACAAGGAGGAACGTAAAATTGAACAAATTTTTCATTTCGAACCCCACATAGGCGTACGGGCCATTTTTTAGCCAGAGGGGTCGGTAAACCATTTGCCCAAAAAATTATCGCAAGTTGCCCAAATTTTTACGAAACAGTCGTCCACGAAAAGAAACGAGGGCCATACTTTGCAACAACATAGGGCATACTGGCAAGTGAAGGTGGCTAGATACCGTTTTCAGTGTCAATACCTTCCAAGTTTGAGCGTAAACTATGTCGCCATAAACAAGCATTTAGAAAAATTACCCCCAGTTGTATTAGATAAAGAAGAAATTTGTCATGATCAGGGTTGCAATGACATCCGATCGGAGTTGTTATAGCAACAAAATGAGGCCATTACCTACTGCCGTCACTTGCAGCAATAGGGAACTTAAGATAGAGACGTTTTCGGGGCGACGGCAACTTCAACCGGACGTGACATCATCATTTGTTGGATATTGCGCATGCTCGTGCTCACCACCTTGCCGTCGTGATCCCGTCGGCGACGTGAAACTGGTCTGTTCGGCGTTGTGGCGAAAACGTGAGTATTTAACTTTCATTTCAATCAGGTTTGTTGCGTTTAGCAACCAACATTTTGCAGATTATCGTTCTTAAATTGTCCTTGTTTTCTTTGAGGCACATTTCAAGCTCGATTTCCAAGCTCTGTTTTCTAAACTTACATCTTTGAATGTTTCTATGTTTTCATGTCACAGGATCAAGATCCAACTTGGCAAACAGCCAACCGTTAGTGAGCTTGACATGGGACAAAATTTTCCCACGAGCCAAATAAAAGTATCCAGACAAAAAATATGAACTCCGATATTTCAATTGTTTGTTTTTAGTTCGCTCTTTTCGTTAGAATATCGTATAAATGAAACGCATTGAAAATTATATAGAATAGTAGGTAATACCATGTACTAACTCTGATAACTCGGCGTGGGAATACTGAAATAAAGTTGTTGCCGTTGTTGTTGTTGTTGCATACAAGTATTTCCCGGGAATTATTTCAATACCAAACTAAGAATACGGTTCCTTGGTAGCATTTTAATGTTCCTGTAATTTGCAAGGCTTCGGCAAGCCTGTGGAGATCATTTTTTTTCAACACGAAATTCTGCCTTGAACTTAGCTGCATCCCGCAAGTTCTTTTAGCATGAACGGATCGTAACTGTCCCGAGGAAAATCGGGATTTTTGGACTCATAATTTTCCCACAAAACGAGAAACTCTTCATCCGATACATGTTGTCTGCATAGCAAATATTTATTCTCTTAATTCTTTATGTGAGGCCATATTTTCCTCTTCGGTATTCTTCTAATTAATGGCGCCGTCCTTCTGAGTTCACTGCGATCTTAATGTTCTATTTTTGACGGGGAGCGACGGCTGCCTTAGTTCCAGGCTTTCTCTGCCAGTCCGGTCGCCGTCGCCCCGAAAACGTCCCCATCTTAAGTTCCCTAATATTTTTTGGCACCCGGAACTGTTCTTACAAAATCGTTCACGGGAGCTTATTTTCTCCAATACGGTCGCCTCGTGAAGTTAAAGGAGAATCTGTAAGAGCTAGCGTTGTCGAGATATTTTGGGATGAAGATTTTATCGTTAGAAAATTAATACGGTAAAAAAAGGAAAATCTTGATGTTTGGCCGTTATCTGTAGAAAAAGAGGCTCTTTTGACCATGCAATTTCACCTCATAGTGCGTAGTTCTAATCTTGTTAAAAGCACTTGTGAAAGATCGTGCCGATTGCTAGAAAGAAGGATTTGATAAGTATGTATCGCCGCGCTCTTGTTAGTGGTTTTGTAAACATTTCGGTCTAGTTTAGCAAATTAGCGAATAATTTTTAGACCGCTCAATAGATTATTTTAAAAAAATAAAAATTCTTCTCGCAATTCAAACCGAGACTGAGAATTAGTCAGCTTCTTCTTCATTGACCTATTGCTAATGCTATCTGCCGTACACTGTTGAAACTTCCTTCACTCCGACACTAGCACAGGGTCTAAATGGCCATGTCGGCATTTCTAGGAGTGGAGATGACTCTAGAAAGTTATGCGAAAGTTTTTTTGGAAATAGCCCATTCCAGCTAGTGGCGCAGTACAGTGCCCAACAATAAAAAACTACAAATACATAAATCAACATATGATACCCTTAACTAACAACCAGAAACTCATCACATGGTAGGCAACCACTGTCTCGTGTGAATGTAACTGGGTTATTACGCCAACTTCAGGTTAAAATAGAAAATATTTACCTCTTTAAAATAATAAAAAAGCATGGAAATGTCTTTAAAAACTGGCTTTGCCCCAATTTCCTCTTGTTGCCCAAAAAATCTGAGTTGCCCAAAATTTGAAGGGGTGGGTGGGGGGGCTGCAGCCCCCCTCGTCACCCTGGCCCGTACACCTATGGAACCCCATGACTACCGGATTTATTATGTAAACTATAATTACATCATCAGTTTGGAATTTCTGTCGCTGAGTCGCAGACGTTCCTTCTCACGAAATGCCCTCGTGAGAGGCGGGGAGAAACGGCTGTTTTCGCAGGCTACCTAACTCGAAATCTAACTAGAAATCCTAACTCTGCAAAAAGGTATCCTCCCACGGACGATGTTTGTTGGAGAGAATGGCGTGACGAGCCAAAAGAACGTCTGCGTGGGAGCTAATTCAGTTCAAAGGGAGTGTTCTCGCTTTTTTGTACCGTATTTATTCGATTAAACGTCTCGGCATTTATTGAATCTTTTGCTATTCAAACGCAACGTTTATTCGAAGTGGGCGTCTATTTCAAAATCATATTTTCTTAAATCATTGACAACAATTACGACAAATCATTTTTAATTATCAGGCACAAGTAAAACAGACAGATCTTTAGCGTTTCAATGTCTCACGTTTTTTTTTTCTTTTTATCTGGGAGAGAACGTTGTTGTCTGGTTGATGTACACAACAAAGTAGTGCCGAGTTGTCCTTTTATAATCCTCGATTAAACGGCGCATTCGTCTTATTTCGTGCGGCTTATATTTTTAACTTTGCTTCCATCTGCGGCCTTAAATCAAGGGTGGCGTTTATTCGAGTAATTACGGTAACTGGCAGATCGCTACAAATTTTACTTAACAATTATTCTTTGAAATCGAGGTGAATAGTGGCAAAATATTTACCGAGCCGCGAAAGCGGCGAGGTAAATATTCCCAAAGCCACTATTCACCGAGATTGAGAAGAATAATTGTTTTAGTATATACACACGAAGTGATCTCAACAAAATCAGAAAGGAAACCATTCAAAAGTAGGATTTGATTGACAGATCAAATCACGCGTAAGTTTAAAAATAGATCTTTGCAGAATTTTCAAACATGGCAATTCACAAGTTTACTCATTTCGCAAACAACAGCGTAATGGCTTCAATGGAATCGCTAAAAGTTTGAACTGTTTCCTTACCTGAGAAAAAAAGTAGAGCTGTGTTGTTTTCTGTTGACTCGCCAAGTTTATAGCCAAAAGGGCATGTTGTGTCGTTCTTCGCATGAAGTGCTGACAAAAATGGCGGCTCGGTTGCTCGAGGTAAGAGGTCGTCTTCCTGTATCATTCTTTTTCCTGTTTACTTGAAATGTAGAATTTCTGCAAACATTTCCTTTTAAATTTGTTTTTCATAAATAAACTTCGATTTTTGAGCCAAAATTTTCTTCTTAGAAAACGCTGAGTTCACGAAACGGTTTCTTCTACGCGAATACACGGGAGTTGTAAACAATCCATCGAGCACAAAACTCCTGCTACAGTAAATTGAAAAACGCCGTATTGAATCCTTCCAAGTCTTTTCTTGCCTTAAAAAAAGTCAGCCCTAGGATTTTGTCGACTTTTAAAAGATCGTTCTCTAAAAAAAACGGGAAAAACACCGAGCTCACACATTATCCACTCGCTAGGAGGTGAATATTGTTGAATAGTCCGAGATAGCGAACCAATCAGATTGCTTAAATCACCAAGATCACTGAGTGTGTATATACTAATTCAATTTATAACATAGCTAGAAAATTCGCCTAATCAAATTCAATAGCGCGAGCGTGCTTCATATTCCTATTGAGCACGCTGATGACGTCAATAAACTATTCGTAATTCCTCGAGTTGTTGTGAGCTTAGCAATCCTGAGTCTCTTGAGTGCATCCATAACTCAGCAATAGACAATGAAGCGTTTACCATGTGTTTTGTAAAGAAATTTAAGAGGAAACGTTTGAATTTGTTAACCGATAGTAAGGAAAAGAGGTGAGTGTTGTTGTTTTTGTTGTCATCTCCGCGAGCTGTGCGGGCTATGGCGTGAGCTCATTCTTTGCAAAGTTGTTTTCTCTCAATAACAATTTTTCGGTAAATTAATAGTTTTCCGGCACCTAAATATGGATTTTACAATCATTTTAGAGTACACTTTCTCTCAGTTTCAGGATAAAACATAAGATTAACTGTGAGGAAAAAAGATATATTCACGTAAACATTGACGCGTACTGCTTTGAGCGCGCCCTTCAATAATAAAATTTTCAGTTAACTGCTGCATTGATCGCTTTGATAATGTTATAAAACAATTAGTTCATGCTGCAGCTGTGCGTATGTCGAGATATTGAGCACTTGGGAAGTTTGGAGAGCACTCAAGAGGCTAGAGTTGCACTCGGCTGCGCCTCGTGCAACTCTTACTCCTCTTTCGTGCTCTCCAAACTTCCCGCGTGCTCAATATCTCGACATACGCACGCTGACGCATGAACTAATTGTTAATTATTCACTCGCAAATCTAAAAAGAATTCCCTCTCCGCAACATATGCGTTTCAGTTTTTTTTCTCTAGGCAATACTCTGGTTTTCCCCCTTATTATGGATTAAACTACAATAAATGCGTTTCAATGCCAGCAAATTTTAAAGCTCTAGGCATCCCAAACAATTGAAAGCGTTTAATATCTGCTATAAATTGTCCAAGTAAGTAAAGGCAAACTCAGTCAAACTTTTTGTCAAACATAGCGCAGTCCTATCAGTCAGAGCGTTTCGGTCAATAGGGACTTTACGATCCGACGACGCGATGACAACGAGAAAGTCGAAAAACAATAGGTTTAGAAGGAAAAACAACAACTTTGCACGTGCCTCACACTTTTTTGTACATCTTTGCCGTTTTTGCACGACTGCGACGTGAAAGTGCCTAATTTTGCATTTTATGGAGGATGAAACAAGCGACGACGAAATTCTATTTCTCCTTCTGAATCTGGATAGGGATCCTAGGATTTCAACTCCAGGAGGGTTCGCCTTATTTTGATCAAGCAAATGGGCAGGTATAATGGCGATAAAGACTGGAAGAACGTAAATTCACTTTTTATGCGACGTTTTCACTTACCTTCACTGCCATCGAGTCATAATGTTCCCTAATAGGTGATCTGGTACGCAGTCAACCTCGTTTCCGAAGCATCTCTTCTTTCCCTGGCTACGAGGCTGTTATGCGGTAGTGATTTTGTGCCTCGTCTGGGATCAACGTCTAGAATAGAGCTGCGATATGCAGCATAACATAATATGGTATGGGCCAAAGGTTTGAGGGTGCCAGTGGCACACATGGATCACGTGGAGCACCTCACCGGGGTCCTTCTCTTGAGTTTTAATTTCATCCTTTTATGGCATCTGTTGATTTTCTCCCAGATATCAACGAGTGTCTCACAATAGTTCCCAGTCCCTGCAGTTGCGGTGTAAGTGGTGTGCCATGTGGTGCAAACTGTATCAACCTTGTGCCCAGCTTCACTTGTTCCTGTGCACCAGGATTCCAGCTCAGAAGTGGTGGAAAAATTTGTGACGGTAATATATCTTAAGCTACTACTTTCCTGTGTGAGGAAGTCGTGCTCTATGTCTAGTGTGCAATCTGAAAGTCTCTAATAACTGACTGTAATTTATTGTGATTAAATGGTTAGAAGTAGGTAGCTAAAACAATATTGTAAGCTCCAGCTTCTGACTCTTTTAGGTCACCTTCGGTAAAAGAAAAAAAAAGAGATTATGTCTCTGAATTTGCTCTTCAGATATCAACGAATGTTTAAATGGGAATGGAGGATGCGAACAGATTTGTAACAACTTTCCAGGGAAATTCTCTTGTGGATGTTATCGGGGCTTTCGACTTACGGCTAGTAATACAAGCCGATGCAAAGGTAACGAAATATAACAGACTTTAAGTTACAATGAGTAGCATGAAGACTGTCAATCCCTGAAATGATCTGGTAAAAATGAATTGATAAAAGTTTGATTAAGGCTCCGTCCACATGTATCTGGATATTTTTTAATCCGTCAGCTAATTTTAAAAGCGACCTTTGTCTCATTCGAAATATTTCCTCGTCATGCTTTTCAACGTCTGTTTCGCCGACAAAATTGTCCCACCAAGCACTAGTTCACTAGTTTGACGTGTTTACGGCGTCCAATTCGTCCGCCCGACATGGAAAGAAGCTCCAGAATGTCCAGTTGCCGTTTGGAATAATTGAGGTGTACAGTAATCATAGCTAGATCACAAAGCCCACACGTTATATATTAGGACTTGAAAGTGAAGTCCAAGAAGTAAAGAAGCGATAACACCAATTTCCAAGATCTTGTTACGTCACTGGATACGAAAATATCCGGATTTGTTATATTCCTAGACTTTTACTCAACTAAAAAGGGACTGCCATTGGTTGATTCTTGGTCACGTGGCGGTGACTAAAATCAAATGTATCCCGATCGTGATACATTAAGCAATGTACCCCGCTCGGGATACATTACAGCACGTGATCAAAGCATGGTGGAAAGTGGTGTGACAGAAAACGGGAAAAACACTGCCAGTTTTCTTTTTTTTTTCGTGAATGAACACCAGCAACTTGAACACAAACACGAAGCCTCAAGCTAAAAAACAACGATTTTTAAAGTCATCCCAGAAGAGGAAACAGAAGCTAGTTGAAGAAAAAGATGCAGATAATATAAGGAAACTACTCAGTAAATCATTCATTCAGTGGTTTTAAGGATTAAATTTGTGTTGTAAGTTATAAGTACCGAGTCGACTGTTTTGGTTCGCCCTCGTTATTCGACTTATTCTTTTGTTGCTGTTGAAGGAAGTCTAGAAATATAACAAAACACTTAATGACAGATCCCTCGGGAAACCAGTTAGTTTTGTTTTCCCTCGAGTACATCAGGACCCTCGGGAAAACAAACCTAACTGTTTCCCTCGGTATCTGACATTAAGTGTAAATTGGCGTCCATACGATTCCGAATTCATAGCGTATTCAAAAATTTCCACTCTGATGAGCGGGTTCAAAAATATCCGGATACGTGTGGACGGGGCCTATCTCTGTTAAAACTTGTTTGGAGAGATTTTGTCCAGTACAGCTACTAAGCATATTAAAATGGCTGGAGACCAGATGATGATTAGTTAGTAAAACCATTTTTTTTACTTACCTACTTACTTACTTACTTACTTATTTACTTACTTACTTAAATACTTGCTTGCTTTCTTCAAGGTCAATGCTCCAGAGTCGAAAAAAAATATTTGTTTTGGTGAATACAGGGTGCCTGGTACTCGGCCAAAAGCCACGCCCAGTTATTGTTGGGTGGCACCGACCATTATCACCTAATGTATATTTTAACATCTCCCGTAAAAGTTTCATATCCAGTGTGCCCTCACAGAACTGCCACTTTAAACAGCATATAAATCTGTTTCACCTGCAGACATTAATGAATGCTTGTCCAGTAACGGTTTCTGCGCTCAACAGTGCATCAACACTCCAGGCTCCTATTATTGCCGATGCAGTCCTGGATTCATTTTGGATTCAAATGGCAGAACTTGCTCAGGTAAATTTAAATCCTCTCTCTTCAGGATGACGTCATTTGCTTAAAGCAGCCAATAAAACTTCATTTCGTTCACCATTCCTTCTCTATTTGTAGCATAAAAGAACACAAGGAGAGGGATGTGTGGTTACTGCTTTGAATTAAAGTTAAAAGGAAAGAGATTGACAAAATTGTATCTCAGTATCTTTTTGATATATACATACAGCTAAATCAAATTAAAAAGGTTTCTTTGGCAATTGGTCATTGGAAATCGGGCATCTGAATCGACCGGCCTTTAATGGCGTCCAGTGACGTCACTGCTTCTTTGCTTTAATTCATAAAACACGATTTTCAACTGGCAAACAATGAAATATCGACTGGAAATGTCTACATGATCCCGGATTGCATCAATCCTTTTGATTTAATTCATATTTAACGTTCAAACTGTCAACTGCATCCAGTACGCTGAACAAATCTGTTGCAATTCATTAATTTATGATCAAAATCGATCGCAATCACGCCATGAAAAAAATACACATATGGAACACTTCAAAAACACAGCAATTTGATTAAATTGAAAATAAGCTATTTGGTCCTTAACCGAAGAAGAAAGAAAACAGGAAAGAAAAGCTAACAGAATCCTTACACTTGACGGTGAAAATGACAAGAAGGTCGAATTATAACTTAAATATCAGAAAACGTCGCATAAACAAAATCACTGCCGAAACCACAAAACGGCTCATCACGAGCCTCAGCGCTCCGGAAGTTAAAAAATTCGTACCGTCTGGTTGCTATGAAGTGACGTAATCATCCAGTTGAGTATCCATCACCGTAACTCTAGGGACTTTAAGATTCGCTACGGCAAGGGGCTACTACGGCTACATAAGGTCAAAATCACTTCCGGTGACGTCACCACGCGAGTTGCAGTACGGCTTTCCCCCGTAGTCTCGTTTTCTGCTGGGTCAAACTGCCGTCTTTGCCGTACTCTTCACTACGTGAGTATTAACTGTCATTTCTTTGCCATTTTAAAGCTTATTTCCCTTTTCTGAGAAGCCCACTTGAAAGACTAAGTACTTAGTCATACTTAAATATTCCTTAGGTATTATTGTTTCGTTATTTAAGCGAAAACTCAAAGGATTTGGATGCGTTATAATCACGGCTGCAGACAAGAAAACCTCGTAAGAGAGCTTATTTAAGCTTATAGAAGGTTTAGTTCCAATAAGTGATCGTCAAGACTTTAATTTCACGAGTACCTATTAAAAAAATATTTTTATCTTTTGGCTTATCAGCCAGGGATGTTCTCAGTAACAACTTGTTTCGCTTTGAGAATAAAGTTTTTATAACTTACCGGCCCTAGAGCGAGCGAACGCTCATTTAAACGTATAAAAAAGTTGTGTGACATTTATATTTGTTCAATCCCGACAGATTTAGACTAAATGTTCAATCCCGTCGCAATCGTTCCTTGGTAGCATCTTATAACATCAGGGATTTGTAAAGCCCGTGCAAGCCTTGGGATGTCAGCTTTCTTGAAACGAAATTCTGTCAGACATTCATCTTCGTTGAAATTTTGAGGGTTGAACTCGGGATACAAATGATTTGGCAGATAAAGGTTTTCTGAGCTATACGAATTATATAACAACAGAAATTCAGCATCATTTATAAAATTCATGCCATAAGAAAGCACAGCAAGGTCTGTTATTTCTTTAAACGAAACCATTGAAGAGAAATCAACCAAAACCTAGACGGGAAAACTAGTCCTGTTGTCTGAGTTTGTTTACATTTTGTGTAGGTTGTGACGTTGCCGTACCGAGCGTAACTTAACCATTTTGAGTTTTGGCGGGAGACCGCGTAGTCGCCCCAACCCTTCCCGGATACAACAGCCGTGTTAGAGCTATGCCGTAGCGAATCTTAATGTCGCTATTTTTGCGGTCAACTACCGCAGCGCTCGTAAAGTACTCTAATTAAAACCAGGCGGTGTGCGTCACGAGATTCGACCAATCAGAATGCGTCATTTGTAGAGTGATTTTCGCGCTCGGAAAGAGCCTTTTTTAGAGGTATATGTGGTGAAATTTTCGCTTTATTCCAAGCTTGTGTTAGTAATTTCGACACTATACCGCCGTGGAAAGTTGTTGGAACACTTTATCCTGATAGCAGTTGCGTTACTTTTAAATATTTTGCTTTCTTGAGCGTTTGTGACAAGTTTGAATTGCTCGGTCATGTGCAGGCCGCCATGATGATTTGAGTGTTGTTTTTGCCTTTCTTCTTGGATTCATTGCTGGTGACTGTTAGCAGTTTTATTGAATTATTTTGGCCCTCTTGTTACTTCAACCTTTCTTCTTTGCAAATTTCGGGGTCTACCCGGGTCTACCCCTGTTAGTTTTCCCGTTTTGAGCCGTTGAAAGTGTCTTGGAATTAAGACATCGTCTCAGCCAAGTGGCACAACTCGCGGAAGCCGACGTGAAGCGAGTAACGCCAAATACAGGAAGAGTTTGTTCTATTTTAAACCAGAAAAGGTAAATAAGTTTGACTATTGTAATAACCTTTGGAAATAAAACATTTTCATACCCAGTGCTGAAACTGAAAGCGTGACTTTAAAATAATTTGCATGCGGCGTGTGCTATGTGTATGCAAATCTTTATGTAAACTTATGTGAGGAAATAAATTGTTATAAATCTCTACCAAAACACAAAACCGTTATTGAAGATCCAGACAACATCATACAGGATTTTAAAACGATGAGGTTAGGTTTTACTGTATAACAAAATCGATATACTGCGCTCACTTCAATAAACTCACAGACAAGATCGTGGTTTAGCTTCGGTGAAATTCCGATTGTGCTGTAGCTGATCGGCTCTTTCGGTCTGTTTTCCCCTTGCCCGATAGAAGATTTATTTGCGCATAAGGATTTCAAACGGGCACTGTTTTCAAAATGATATAAACTTGTCGATGAAAATAAAACTGTTATGAGAGACGATTTCTCACCTTGCTGTTTGCTCACGCTCCCCCTCCTTGGCCGGTAATAATCAAAAATTATAAACACTTCTAATGGACGATTTTGTTTTTTAGTTACGCAAATTCAGGTATGGACTACAGATCTCTTTCACTATGAGATAAAAATATACATACAAACCAAAGGGTACATAAAATCTTGTTAGAGGCAGGAATGTTCCGTAATGTTTTTCAGAAAAGTCATCAGTTTTTTTATCCCTGGGTTTGGTTCATCTCTCTCACGGGATGCGAACTCGACCGTGTCACGATTGAAATGAGGCACAGTAACAGTTTTACCCATGAACCTTTGTGAGTCGTGACGCACACCGCCTGAATTAAAACCGTGGTCAAAACCCTGTAGGAAATCTGTTTATTTTTGAGTCGATTAATGCACTGCTGACTTTCACGAGGTCAACTTTTGCATAAATTATCAAACATTATGTTAAAGGGGAAATCCACCTATGGTTCGCGGGAGAAGCAACTTCTATAGCGGCGCAAGACAAATGTTTCGAGAGTCGAGGATGTGCTCACAAACTATTCACTATGCGACGAAAGGAGAAATCACTGGCATGATAGCTGCATGTAATGGTAATTTTAATAATCCAGGTCGCGCCGTGTTCGCTCGAGGACGCTGTAACAACCTCGTTTGGCGCGCTTCTCAATACTTCCAAAACATGTGGTAATCGGTAAGTAGACTTAAGCACTTAGTATCGCCAAGTCATTCGGATCAGTGTATACCCAATTCTTTGTCTGAAGATTCTCGCAAACACACATACCAAGTAAATCTGGATGGAAGAGGAAATTGTCTCCCTAAACGCAGCCAGATTATATTTTGAAGGATGGCGGCACAATTCAACGTGTCTCCCAGGTCAGCCCTAATTTATAGTTCGTAAGAGTATACATTGCGATCTCCCTATTTTCGCTTAAGCTTCCTTTGATTAACTTCAGTAGAAACAAAACAACGCAGGCATGACATTCTCCTGCATGAGACACAATCGGCTGAAGGAAATATCTGTTTACAAGTCGGGTAAATTATCCATTCTTGCGCACCGCAAAATCAGCTAAAATCAGTCGCTGGAAACCTGGCATATCATTAAGCCTGAGCGCTTCTAAGAATAACACGTTTAGAACTTTGACGCGTAGAAAAAAGGGCAGTTGTTCTATATCCTTTCTGGTTCATCCAGGTAGAAGTCCTAGCATATTATTATGCCTGAGCGCTTCTGGGATATATATCACGTTTAGCATTTCAACCCGTAGCAGTAAGTACAATTAGGCAGTTGTTCTATATCCTTTCTGGTTCATTCAGGTAGAAGTCCTGGCATGATATCATTATTATGCCTGAGCGCTTCTAGCATATATAACACGTTTAGCATTTCGACCCGTAGCCGTAAAAAAAAAATTAGGCAGTTGTTCTATATCCTCTCTGGTTCATCCAGGTAGAAGTCCTGGCATATTATTATGCCTGAGCGCTTCTAGGATATATAACACGTTTAGCATTTCGCCCCGTAGCCGTAAAAAAAAATTAGGCAGTTGTTCTATATCCTTTCTGGTTCATCCAGGAAGAAGTCCTGGCATATGATTATGCCTGAGCGCTTCTAGGATATATAGTAGCAGTTTGACCCGCAGAAAAAACAAACTCAGCCGTTCATTTTGTAGAAGATATTTCAGCATTTTTGTCTGTGTTAGCAATGTGATCTACTTAATACGCAGACTTTAATATATGTTTTTTTCTTTGACGGCACTGAATAATTTTAGCCGAAACCTGAGCCGTACATTTTTTGAATGCCGCGCTTTTAATTAAATTTCTCGCCCTAGAATGATGAGATGATGGCGCGAAAATTGACGCCTCTATCGTATTAGATGCGAAATATGATCAGAGATAAATGGAATAGTGAATGTTACAAGGTTCTGAGTATACAGCTGAGATAGGGGACTTTTAGTCCCCTATCTCAGCTAGATAAACAAATTTTTTTTGGTTGCTAAGACGGTGCGGCACCGACTATCCGCAATGATTCTTCATTCGTAGTTCAATTTAACAATTCATTTTGCTGTTAACGATAAAGATTGTCGATATTTTTTGACTCCTCAAGCATGCCAGGCGTGCGATCCTATGAATATCAAACCACAGTCCCGCTAACATTTTTCACAATTATATATAATTATGCGAATGTTCGGACAATCAACCAATCAAAATCACTACCCTGCTTTCGGGTAGTGACGTCACTGGACGGCATTAACGGCTGGTCGATTCAGACTTTGCTTAGGGAGTAAAAACGATTGGAAGTAATCGTCTGAAACTTAGGCTACTATATAAAGCCGACTCGTGTTACATTAACGACACATCCTACAATCAAATTCACTAGTTCGTTTTCTAAAGCTGAAATCCCTTTCCTTGATGTCAACGTTATAATAATCAACGGCATATTACAACTAATCTTTATGTCAAGCCCTCAGATAAGCACCAATACCTCCTCAAATCATCCTGCCATCCAACCCCGACCTTAACATTCTACATTCCTGGCAACAATGCAACAATCTACGTGACTTCTTATTCAGAACCAAACACCGCAGAACAACCCCAAAACACCTGGAGCTTTCCGCTAAAACAGAAGTAGCCTACGTAGAAGGCGCTTTTTTATAAAAGTATTTGGGCGTAAGAAAGAACGGGCGCGCGAGAGGGAGACAGGCGTGTCTTCCTCGTGCGCCCCGTTCTTCTTCCAGGCTCGCCAATTTTTCCCCTATCTCCCAACTGCAACACCACCATCAAGTTATCTTAGCCTCACTACGAGTCTGATACTTTTTGATTAGCTTTCGCAGTGGAGGAGTAATCGACTCTGACAGCCTTATTTATTTCTTCGCGGATTCAAAGTTTCACATTCCCTTCTACAAAGAAAGTATTAATGATTACCCACGGTTACTCTTTTTTGGCTTACTGGAACATTCTATATCCTTGTGATCACTGAGCGTTCTTAAAGTGAACGAAGGGATGGGGGGCTAACACTCGTTAAAGCCATTACAGAATGCAATGAAGGGCACATAGAAGTCACTCAATTTTCTTGGATTTCAGATCACGATGAGTGTCTGTCGGGCCACCATGGATGTCAGCACCTGTGCAACAATTTTCATGGAAGCTATTCCTGTTCATGTTATTCTGGGTTTTCCATCAACGGAGACAACAGGACTTGTTCAGGTATGCGTTCGAGTTGTGTCTGTTAGTTGTTTAAAAGAGCGGAGTAACTAAAATAATACGACGAAAATATGCGTAAAGCAAGTGTCAAACTAATAGACTTTTACTGCGCTTTTCAAATCTCGGTAGTCTTTGAAGATAGGAATTTTTTATGAGGAAAATGTAACGCAGATGGTAGAAGGCTGATTTACATACCAAATTCACGTGAGAAAGGATAGACATAGTGCGGTCAAAAATTGCACCGATGTTTCTGGCAGAATCGAATGGATTAATTGTATCATTTCCAAAACGAAGTGGTGGTAGATACTTTATAGGACAGTGTTTAGAGTAGAAGAAGAGAATTACAGTTTTGTCCTTGTTTAGTTTCAGTTTATTTAGAAACATCCATTCATCAAGATCTGACAAGCAATCCTGTATTTTAGCAAAGATGCTCCAGGTCGTTGTTTGGTGAAAAAGAGATAGATAATTGAGTATGATCAGCGAAGAAATGAAATTGGTGCTGTTTAAAGTAGGTACAGGATGGGTCCAAGGACACGAGCCCTCAGGCATGCCACATTTGAGCTCGCAATATTGTGTTTTTTCCACCCATCGATTAAGGCAAATTGTGTGCTGTTTGTAAGGTACGACCGAAACCAGTCACGAGCAGTACGACAAATGGAGAACCTAGAGTCAAGTCTTTTAAGCAAAATATCGTGGTCGACAGTGTCAAAAGCAACAGACAGGTCAAGCACCAAGAGTATAACACAGCGGCGATTATGAACCGCTTATAGTAGAGGTTCATCAAGTTGATTTGATTCAAGGTAGTTTTGGAGACGTAGAGCCACAACTTTCTGATCCACCAACTTCGCAAGATAGTCTGTCGATGCGGCTTTTGACGGCGCCTTTTTGTCACTCTTTTCTTCTTTCGTGTTATTTTGTTTACGTATGTGACCGATATTGAAGTCAGCGAAGAAAAGGACAGCATCATCCCCATAAAGTAGGATCTTTGACTGAAGTAAAGAGTTGGGCCAGTCATTGATGTAAATCGAAAACAAAATCGGACCAAGTATGGATCCTTGTAGGACGCCAGATTTTATCTGCTGAGGTGCAGACTGTGCGTTGCCATAGACAGCAGATTGACATCGACTCGTAAGATAGTTCTCGAACCACCCCAGTTCATGGTTCTTGATACCATACCCAGGCAGTTTCTCTAGGAGAAGCTGGTGATTTACATTGTCGAAGGCTTTTTGAAAGTCGACAAACACCGGTGCTGTAACACAACCTTCATCACTGCCTTTCCTAATACAATCCGTGAAATATGTAACCGCGTCCTCGTAGAATGATTTTTCCGAAAACCACACTGGAAGGGAGATAGCTGACTGGACTTATCTAAATGTTGAAGGAGCTGTATTTGCACTGCTCTTTCAAGGATCTTCGAAGCCACCGGTAAAACGGAAATGGGACGGTAGTTAACCATATACTTCTTATCCCCATCTTCATAAAGTGGAACCACCCTTGCATATTTAATTTCCATTCCTCCGACGAAACTGCAGAAGAAATCGAGAGATTTATTATGGGTGTTAGCGGAGCTGAGATGCTTGGAGCCGCATCCTTTAGTGAACGGGCTGGAATTCCGTCAAGTCCTGCACCTTTCGATGTTTTTAGCAGCCTAAGTTGACGATCAACAAACGCAGCTGATACCGGGTTTCAAAGAGAACAAAGATTGACTTGAATTATTTCTCTTACTTTGAATTACTGAATTACTGCTCTTACTTTCTCAACCTCTTAAGCCTTGTTCTCCTTGTTCTTACCTTCTCCGGATCTGGCTTTACAACCTCTATCGTTAGCAGGTGCCCATGAATGGAACTTTTCTATACGTGTACTCTAACTTCTCGGCGTTGAGTTTGATACCTTTCTGCTGACATCTAATCATAAATCCATCCAAATTGCTGTCATAATCAGCTTCACATGTGCCAGATGAGAACATCATCTGCATTACATTTTACACTAGGGAGAACTTCTACCTCTTGATGGAGACGTTTCTGCAACGTTTCACTCGAAACAGTAAGACCAAAAGGGAGCCAACTATATATCGACCATATGGCGTAGCAAATGTCGCGAGAATACTTGACTCGTAACTCAAGATGTCAAAAAGCCGAGGCTAAATCAACCTTTGTAAACACTCTTGCATCTGTCAAATCGGGCAACAAATCATCAATGACAGGAAATTGATAACGCTCCCTCTTCAAAACACCCGGGTCGATACAAACACGCAGTTCACCAGACTTCTAAACAGCTACAAGAATCTGATTGACCCACTCTGTCGGTTCGTCAACTGGAGTAATGACTTTAAGACTTCCAACCTTTGGACCTCTTCTTTGAACTTCTCTCGAACAGACATAGGGACTTCTCTTGCTGGAAGAGCAACAGGTTTGCAATCCGGGTCAACTTGAAGGTTACCTTTATCTGGAAGTGTTCCAAGACCTTTGTCAAAAACATCTGCTTACTTAACTGTGAGATCATCATTTGCATTCCCTACGACATTACTGAAGTTTTCCTTGTGTACGGTTAGCTGATTCATTTTCTGTGTCGTTAAAGCCAAACAGTCAGGGGTCAAATCCAACAGGTACCACTTCAGTGCCATTTCACATAACAAGGGTTTGCAAACATGAGTCAAGTTCCTCGACTTCAGCATACTACAGAGGTAAAATATTTGCACTTGCCACCACAATCAACTTGAAATTGTTCCGGTTGGTGCCTAACCAGCATTCTCGCATCCACGGCTCTCCTTCCCAAGGCCTGTACTCTAACAACGCTGATCGCCTCTAACTCCTCTTCGCTCTCAATATTATGGACAGGAACTTTCTTACACTTCTTGGCAAAATGATTCTTTCTTCCCATTGCTTACACCTCTTTTCCCATCCAGGGCACTTCATCCTATTAAGTTTACGGTCGTGGCCACAACATTTGCAGGAAATTTTCTTTTCTGACCTCCCGTCCGGCACTTGAGCGCAAAGCTTCTTAGTATTTGACATGACTTTGATTTATGTTATCCACTGGCCCAGATATAACGACTTCATCTGCAACTCAGCGACTTCCTCACGGCCACACGTCGACGCAGCGATTCAAGGTAACGGAAGTCTCATTCTCAGCACCTTCGTGGTCGTATGTTCGCTATTAATTCCAAACACAATACGATCATGGATTAAACTATCTCACAAACAACAACAAACTGAATGGCATGTTTTCGCCAGATTCCTAAGTTCGGCAGCAATTAAAACTATCACCCGACTTAGTTGGGAGCTTCTCTGGCACATGAAAACAGTATCGTTCGTAAATTTCGTTACCCTCGCCGCGGCATTGTTTCTCTGTGTTGTGCATGACAATTATGCGCTAATAATTTGAGATGCCCCCTTCGGCGAAATTAAATGTTTTGATGACAAGCAAAGCATCATATCCTATCACATGAATGAATATCAATGATAGTGGCGCTGAAGGTTGAGAAATTTCCACCATATTTTCCACCTTCACCAGAGAGTTAATTTGCCGATTAGCAAAACGCGCGAGACAAAAGAAGCATAAGTGCTCACTGACCATGAAATAACACGACAAAACTTTGCGTAAAACAAGTATCAAACAAAGCACATGCATATTGAAATGTAAACAAAGCCTCCACAATTTCAATATTACCACATTAATAACCAATTTTACAGTTTGTATAAGATATAACACGGCAAACTGATCCTTACAGCAAGACGATGAACAATTGAAAGGTGGGTCAAATAGGGTGAAAACAAGACCTAGACAACTATGGCTAGACTGCCTCATTTTAGCAATCCCATTTAAATCCCATATCCTTTTTAAATCCAGGACACTCTGTTTGAGTTTACTCAGCCAAAACAGGAGATTGAGTATATCTCTGCTTTCAATATTACAGCCGCTGTTGAAACCCGCCCTTCCCAGTTACACAATTTTCTTTATTTCACTCCTTCCCCCCCCCATCCCTAACATTTTATGGGCCTCCTCCCCCGAGCTCTGCGAGATTCTGCAATACACGTATTTGTTTAAATATGTTTTTTTGTTGTTTTATTCGTTTGTTCACTTGCTCATCGCCTTGCTGTACGGATCAGTTTGTCGCTTTATATTTTATACACATTGTTATTGTACAGATCCAGGTCTACAACTGTGAGATCCGGTACCACTCAACGGTTTGTCGCTGTGGAGTTGCTAATATCTAACAGTTTACAGTTACAGGCGGAAACGAGGCTGGAGTTGACTTTGTTTTGATACAACCCTTCCTGCTTTGTTATGTATCTAAATAACGTTTTTCTTATTTAAGCATAATTTCCATAAAAAAAGGAAGGAGGTTTGTTTCAAAGAGAACAGGTCAACCTCAGCCTCAAGTCCAGTCAAAGGCTAGGAAACTGAGCCCAAAACTGTAAAATGGTCTATTACCAACATATTCTATCGGTAGATAATTGACGAATCAACTATCTCACTGTTTTAGCAAAAATTTACTTGTCTTGTATCGCAAATAGGACAGCACGTTCTGGGGATTTTTATGAAATATTTACTACGAAAAGGAGATAGGATTATGACTGAACTACGAGTCTGAGTTGAGCTTGAGCGTAAGATTGAGTTAGGCTTGAGTTACCGCTTTTAGCGTTTATTTCATTTTATTTTTTTATTATTTATCTATTTTTACACTCTGAGAATGCAAATGATGGCAAAGATTATTGGCGTTACACATATTTTTATAGATCAAGTGCCTAAATTCAATTATTTTTCAATTTTACAAAAGGGAAAGGGTGTAGACCACACCTCCCCTCCCCTCCCCTGCCTTGGGATTTCGCCTCTAAGACCCTAGACGCCAGGAACAGGCTATTGAGAATAGAAACCTTTAGATTCAAGAACGAGAACGACTACGACTACGAGATTTGACTTAAAGTTTTTTCGCGTATTCTCAAAATATAGACTTCCGGGAAAGCTTCATTTTACCACGATGATATTTCACTAGAAAAGTTAGCACTGTTATATTAAGTGAAGGAGATTGCGCGCTTTCCCGATCGCAAAATGATAAAAAGATTTGATATCTTGTTTTCGCTACATTAACGCTAAAACGCGTAGTAGAGTGACGACGGCTACCACTTTTTCACGCGCGTACACTACTTAGTGTTGAGAAAATCTCATACTCTTAGTCGTGCTCGTCTTAGAATCTAAGGGTCTCTGTTAGTGACATTTCGAGTTGCGTTACATTATGTACGTCCTGACAATTATCACGTGTTTTGGTCATGTGACGTTGTTGTTGAACTCGGACTCTTGAATAGAACTTGACTAGAGACTTGTCGAGATTTATATGCGAGATTTGTCGAGATAAGTTTGTTTTGTTTTGCTAAGAGCTTACAGTCTTGGAATAGAAACAACAGTTTCTAATAAGCAAATTATTTCAATACTCAAGGAACGTATAATTACAAGAGAGGATAAAGGGGACAGAGAAGGCATCCCCCATACACACAACAGGGGTCTTTTTTGCATGAGCATGCGCGACCGCTGAACAAGCGATGTGCATGGAGGCTCACCACAGGGTTTGCCTTCATCAAAATGGCGCGTCTCAAAGCTATCATAGCGATTATTTTGCTCGTTGGTCTTGGCGAATGTGCTCGTGATTTAACAAAATGTGTAGTTTGCAAAAAAAACTCTAACATGGTCTTAACAAAAGCGAAGTAGACCGGCTTTAACATACATGAGCTACTATCAAATTTCATCTCCCCACTTGACCTGGACAACAGCGCACGTATATGTAGTTCCTGGAGGATTGCACTGACCTCATCAAAGTCTAAACAAAGTGCAGAAACGTTTGTTGATGCAAGTAAACACTTTCAATTTTCCTTGTTTTGAAATTGGAAAGGAAAAGAAATATTTAAAAAAAAAAACATAGCAAATTTCAGCGAGTGGGTTCGAAGTGCGCGAAAGCCGATGTTCAGTTCAGCAGTGAATTAATATATGTTCTACAATTTTCCCAGCACTTTAAAGCTACAAAATTAAGAGCACACGAGACGTAGATTAGTCACCTGGTGAGATGTTGGTGGTAGTCACCCTGTATGTCTCGAACAATAACAAGAATGAATATCAATGAGACACAGTCAAAACTGCATTCAATAGGACCGAAATTTAAGTCCAATCTTGTGACCGATTTGATGAAACAAACGGGTAGGTTTCCCAAGAAGTACAGTAAACATGTGATGACGACCAAAAGTTAAAAATCATTGGAACTTTTAAGTTCTGGCCAAAAGCAAATTCCTGTAAAAGATGCGTTACAATGTTAGTCCACGCAAAAACAAGAAGTTCTACAATTTTCCTATAAACAAACTTTGTATCGCTAAAATACTTAAGGCAAAAACTTTCTATTCCAACTGAAAACGGCGTGGTAGTCGCCCGCTGATCGTTATTAATCCACTCCCGAAATATGGCTAAATCAGCTATTAACAAATTATTGACAGAAATCCTCTACGGCATCGAGAAACTGATTTACATCCGATTTATAGACAAACAATAAATAAAGAACATTTTGCTCAATAGCTACGCATCAGGAATGCATTCTATGCCAAACTTTGCGGTTCTTAAAGGGGAATCAAGATACTAGTTGAGCGCCAAACATCAACAAGCAGCCATGTTCGTGTCAGACATCCTTGAGAAACTTGCTCTTTCACCTCGTTCAGCGCACCAGTCTCCACTTTAAATCAACAGATCTTTACTACTTTGTACAACGAAGGTCTTTCCTAAGTTCCTGCTACCATTTCAATCTCAAGCAAGATTTCAAAGTGAGCAATTTGGTTCCTATGACTATGCAGCACGGTTGCTGTCACTGGTCGCGTGCTCTTTGACAAGTCAGCGGTCGCGCATGCTCATGCAAAAAAGACCCCTGTTCATACACACCCTATTCGAAAGGTAATTCGTCTCGAGTTATTTTTAAGACCACAGATCCCAAGGGGGATTAGACAACAGCCAATCACATAGCGCGACTGTGTTCCGAGTGGATGACCCACGCTCAGAGCCACGCGTCCTTCACGAACTGACGCTGAAAAAAATGGCGGAAGACGCAAAGAGCGATATTGCTATTCGTTTTGTCGACGAAGACGACTAAAGAGAGATTTCTACTAAAGCGGTGTCAGCGAAACGGAAATTAAAAAAGAATCGCCCTTCCTCTCTTGTATAGAGCTAACAGTACGGCAGGGAAATCCTGAATATTCTCTCAGGATCATTTATAATTTACAGTTTGAAGAGAGCAATTTCTGGTCTGATATTTATTCTTTTATTAGTCCTTTATTATTCAACAAAAATAACACTTGGCGTCCTACTTGCTTTAATGTACAAACGACCGGTTTCAATAGACCGGCGAAAGTTCTCATTTTATTAAAGCACTGAGGTTACGGCAACTTCGAGTTAAACTGATTTCACGGGTTGTCAAAGAGTCCAGCGATTCCCTTTTCCCAGGTGAGCGCCGACTCATTTCGCTTCAATATTCAGAAATGCTCTCGATCTCTTTACGCTTTCATTGTCTTTCGCCCGACATGTTTTGCACGGAGTGTTACTCATGCGAAACCTCCACGAAACATCCACGCAGCGCGCGCGAGGTAACTTTATCCCGATTCTAAAAATAATTTAAGACGAATTACCTATGGAATAGGGTGTGTATGGGGGATGCCTTGTCTGTCCTCTTTATCCTATCTTGATGATTACCATCGCTTAGTTCCTGTTGCTTGGGAAGACTTACAAGACCTGAGAGGAACCTCGGAAATTTATTCCATGACCGCGCTTTAAAGTCGAAAAATTGTAATTATAACAAAAGCATCATTTACATAGAATTTTTAAAGAACAACAACTCGAAAAATATTCTGTTTCCTTACTACGTGTGTTGCGAATTGCCTGGAAAATGAACACCCTTAGTGAAACAGATCCTGGAACTACTTCGTGCGCATCGCTTTGTGTTTGTATTGCAGAGTCGAGCAAACTGTCATTCCATCATCTTGTAAACCTGGTAAAATACGCCCTTTCATGGACTTTCTTTCACACCGAGCATTAGATAATAATTTACCAAGATCGCACAACACTTTGATAGGTCAAGTTCATAGTCGATTCTACAGTAAACAGAGGCGACTCGTGCGATCGGCTGTAAAATTTTCGCTTCACTTACCATCGCAAATAACTCCTCCGAGCCCTGTGAACGATGCTGATGTTTTCAGACCCTTTTCACAGGAGTTGATTTGGATAGGGGAAAGCTGTTATCCAAAAATCGTGGTTTCTGGACTTATTTTGAAGATAAGAAGTGAAGATACGCTTCTTGAGAAAAGATGTATTTCATTGCCTTTTCAGACAAGCATTTTGATTCTCATCGAGAACCATCGACGAAAGAGTCCGAAAAATGGTTATCTTTGTATGCTGATTGACTCCGAAGTATACTCTATTGTTACTTACTCACTTTCGGAAAACTAAGTATGCTGATTGGCTCCGACGTATATTCTATCGTTGCTTACTTACTTTCGGAAAACTGATTCGATGCCAATAGTGACTCCTGCGCAAGCGCAGTAGTCACAAAAAGCACTAATGTAAATTTTAAAAACTAAACGGAGAAAAAAAAATTCTTTAGAAAAAAGGCATTCTTTGGTAACTCAAACTTAACTCAAACTCAACTCTAACTCAACTCAAGCTCGTAACTCGATAAATAGCAGATCCCCATCAATAGTTTGATGCAAGCAATTGCAAAACGGGAAGAACGTATAGGCTTTGAAAAGTTAACAAAACCCCTGGAATATCACGCTTCAGAACAAGAGCGCTGATTATTTTTGTCTGGAACAGAGTTACTTCGAGCCATTTCGGACGTCTTTTTAAGACACCATGCATATGGTAATCAGCCACTTATAAAACGATACAGTAAAGTAAAATTAACGTATACCTAATTTCCTCTAGATGTGAATGAGTGTACTCCAGTGTATGTGGCCAGCCTGAACAGAACTATTATTCCTGCCGGATGTGATCAGCTTTGCCACAACACACAAGGGAATTACTCCTGCAGCTGTAACCATGGATACCGTCTACTCTACGATGGCAAAAGATGTCGAGGTATTTAAGAGTGACATTTGTTACCCCCACAAAGCCACTGTTTTCTGATAGTCTCTTCAAAATCCTGCAGATAACTGATGATATTTTAATACAAACAAATTTAATTTTTGAACAACACAGATGCAGACGAATGTCTCTCGGGAAGCCACTCTTGTCAGCACATTTGCCATAACACACCTGGATCTTATGGCTGCTCTTGTTTCTCCGGATACAGACAAAAACCGGACATGAGAACATGTGAAGGTGAACGCCTAAACTTTTTCTCTCTGATCTTTAAAACAAAATATCTACCTTACTCTTGATTCTGTTGATTAAATGCCCCTTGACGCTTAAACATTAACTGCTTAGTGTAACCCACCATAACGAACTGCGCAAAGCGGGGAATCTAACCGACACATTGTTCATTGGGAGAACGGCTGAACGTGTGATGTTGATGCCCTACAAACGCAAATTTGTCCCAAGGATTTTGTCCGGGCATTCATTACCAGAGATGCAATGCTTTTTGCTTACAACTGATCCAATCTAATCCTGAAACGTACGCAGGGAATACTATTCCCTGTTCAAGCAGCCAAAAAAGGGGCGTAAAAAACTCTCCTCTGAATTCCAGCACCAGGTATTTGTAATAATAACCATTAGTTTTTTATCGATAGGGCTTCCTTGCAAGACTATCAAGGCTCCGCCGAATGGACGCATGACTTGTAGCGGCTTAGTCACCAACGAAACATGTTTGTTTTCCTGCAATGATGGCTATGAAATGCAAGGCTCTGAAAGACGAACCTGCTTGAATTCTGCAGAATGGGACGGTGATGAGACATTTTGCAAAGGTGAGCAAAGACGTAGTCTCTGTGAAACTTATCTGTAATTAAACTTTTTTTTATAGTTATATATTGCTAAATAATGAGATAAAGCAATCCGAACCTAAGCTTACCCATACACCCTCTTTTATAAGAACGTCAATTTTTCGAGTTGAGCCTGGACCTTTCTTATTTTCTGAGCAGTTTCAGCCTGGAAATGTTCTTACGAAATATATTATAGTTTTCACATTTTTAATAAATTTTACAAGTACAGTATAAATGTATTGTTAGTCTCGCTTGCGTAAGCAGCGAAACTCATAATCTGCAGGCCGTTTTTCTTCGTATTTAAGACACAAAAGGGGAGTCATTGTGCCAGGCGTTCTTAGCGGAAACCGTGGAAACTGGGAAAAAGAATCTTTTCTTCACCGAAGCCACGCACTTTTTGCGAAGAAAGCTTAGGAAAGATTAAATTTAGAGCTTTTCCGAAAAGTGTCGGTCCACGAATTCTATCGCTTGAGAGCGTTGATTACTTTGGAACAAGTGAACACTACTGAGTCGTCGAAAAAAACTAAGAATCGTAATTAGCAAAACTGCGATGGTCGGGTGTTGTAAACTTTCATTGTATGGAAATGAATCTTGTGATGGGCACGCGGTTTATTTTTGGCGATGATTGAAATGACGTGTCATGTAGATCACCTTTTTGATCTCTGGCGAAGATGTAATTTCTCTGGAGTCGAGGCCATTGAATTTTCGTGTATTTATACAGGCGTATAGCCTGCGTCCGCAGACGTATTTCTGGTTGTCGCCAACACACGTATTAAATCAATTCAGAAACAAATAAAAAGTTATTATCCTGAAGAACAATCGACGTCGATAAAGTAAGAAGTAAAAACCTTCAGCGATTAAATCCTGTCTCGTGTACAATTAATCGTCTCCTCATTTGTCCATCTAATCTCCAAGCAAGCGACACAGGCGCCCCTGTAGGAGCGTTCTTGTTGATCATAAACAAGAGATAATGAGCTAGCTCATCCACTCTTGTCATAAACAATAGGAATGTGTTGAAAAAGAACAAAATTTTTCATACACACTAACTTTTGGACATCATATGATTCAGGTTACTTTTCTGGATTTAGAAAGTAAAAGCCCAAGTTAAATATTAGCCTGCGATCACAGACGTTCCCTCTTCCCTTTTTGTTTTGGAGGCGAGGGGTTCTTTTTTTCTTTTTTCTCCTACGCCGACTCTATCCCCGAAAGAAAGAACTCCTGATCGTAGATTCGATAGTCAGTTGCTTGTTGAAGCATTTAAAAAGAAAAATTAAACTTAAAAACGTTACTCGACGTTTCGATGTATCACACATCATTATCTAGAGTGAGAAATGTTAAGTTTCAAAGACACCATGCAAAAGGAATATGAGGTCGAGAATACAACCCTCACGGACAATTTCTCGGTAATCAAAAATGCGGAAACAAATTGGAATGCGTTTCCTTCGAGATGCTATTTATACAAGAACGCAAACCATCATTGAATGCGCAGTCGGATTCGATTCGAGCTAAGCTTTCAATTAAGTAATACATAACCATGAAGCATGCACGAATACGATATAATTTATTCAAAATTCAGCTCTTTCACAACTTGGATATTTAATATTTCCCAATCTTTATAATGGTGTGTGATACATGGAAACGTCGAGTTTAATTGTTCTTGATCGCAGGTTAGTGAAAAATAAATTGTTGTTCTCTTAGCCTCGGGTATGCTCTTAGCGTCTTCTTAATCATGATTTTGGCAAATTTCAGGCTGAACGTTCTTATAAAAAAGGAGTGATATTTGGCGGGTAAATAAGAGCTTTATTCCTGATTGGGTATTTGTTGAGCAATGTCACAAAGCAAACTTCTTTCACCTCACTCTTGTTTTTATCTCAGTGAAAAGTTGTGGTCGACTGGACCTTCCAGCTAGAGTACTAGTTTATCTTCCTTGTTACTCCACATTTGGCTCAAGATGTACACTTGGCTGTGTGGATGGCTACTTTGGCGTTGGTAGTGATCGTGCTACTTGCCGCCTGAATAAATCAAGCGAAGTTGAGTGGGACACAGGAAACTTTACTTGTAAAGGTTAGTATCGCTAAGGTTTTAACAGTAATTTATGTGTTAATGATATATGAAATAAATCATATATGAACTGCGGAAATGAAATGAAGATGAAGAAATGATCGTCGCAGTGAACGCAATTTATGCAATTGCGTAAAGAAGCCTGAAAAAAAAATTCAGGACTTCAACGGGGTTTGAACCCGTGACCTCGCGATTTACCGGTGCGATGCTCTACCAACTGAGCTATGAAGCCCCTGACGTGTGGCTTCATAATTTCCAGAAGTAAAACGCCTGTTCATTTGAATCCTTATATCAAATTTAAATGTAAAGGCCTATCTTTCTTATACTATTAGAAAATATTTTTTATATATTTTTAGCCAAGTGATGATATGCATCTGCCTGTACAGCGCAACCTGATGGTGGTCAATCAAGAAAACTGTCGAAAATTAAGAAAAGTGTCTTAATTAAAAGTATATCTCCTTTGATTTTCACTGCATTGACAAGTATTCTGCTTTAATTTACTCTACTAACCATGTTTCTGGTGTTTGAAAACATAGAGATGCGAACCTTTGTAGAGCAGTTTAATTTACAGATAATGTTGTTACATCCATCGATCATTTTACAGCATCCCTCCTTGTGTTTTCTTCCTTTGAATGAAATGAAAGGATGAAAAAAAAAACGAAAATGACCACAATGTATTTCTATTTATTTTCGAAAGGTTGGATAACCAACTTCATGCTTTCTTTTTTCTCAGAGATAATCCTCTGCAAACCTAATCCTTGTCTTCATGGTGGCCAGTGCATAGTTATTAGCTCAAGACAATTTTCTTGCGATTGTGAGAAAACTGGATATGAGGGCAACCTGTGTGAAAGGGGTGTTGTAAGTCCTCCTGTTTTCCCCAAACTAATTCCTGGTCAACCCTCCGAGATACTGGAAGTGTGCGCAAAGCCAGAAAATTCATTGACAGTTAATTTACTTCCGACCACCATGAACTTGTTCATTCAGCCTGAGAAGCTGATAATACAGCATCCTGCATCAAAGGCAGAATTTCAAATAACAGGTTACAATTCTGGGGTTGGAATAGTGATGTATAGTCTTGATGGAGTAAACAAGTATGATTTCACGGCTCCACCCAATAGCGTCGTATTTATAGGTCGTAATGTCTCAAGTCAAGATAGTGTTTACACCAAGCTTGGTCTGTTAGCGGGCGAGTTACCAGTTGGGTGTCAACGGATGGAAATCAAGAAATTTCCAGCATTTGATGTTAAAATAGCGTTTTGTGCAAACTCGACCGCATCAAATCCACTTGTAATTGAACCCGGTCCAGTCCACATTATTACATTTGACAACAAGACGATCCCTCTCAGCTTAGCAGGCTATGACTTTTCTTCGGCACCTCCATCACAAAAAAATACAATGGAAAGATTGATTAGACTCACAAGCATATCAGATGCCTGGCAAACTGGCAATCAAATGTCTGATTGTTACAATATCGGATTTACAGGAAAAGACCTCATTGAATTTATACAAACAGAGGCCTTTTCGAGGTCCTTTTTGAGATACATAACGGATCAATTGCCGTTGTGGTTAAGATTGGGGGTTAGAGAGGAACAAAGTAACCTGTTCGACATAGGGAACATCCAGTCTAATCTTTTTCTAACAACAGATACCCACCTCTCCTACCCAATCTGCAAATTTCCCGCCCACATACAATCCACATTGGTCCTGTATCGTCCAACGTTGAATTACAACATCTCAGTTGAAAACAATCATCTTCTGTTGTCAAGCAAAGGGTCTTGTTTCGCTGCTGACATTTCCGAACCTGGCGTTTTTCTAGCGTTCTCCCAGCGAGCGAGGAAACAATTTACAACCATGCAATTTATGCAAGACCTAACTTTAGGAGGGTGGAAACTTCTGGTGTCTTCCTTTGGTTTTACCACTCCACGAGGAAACAACACTTTTGCAAACAGTGTACCAAATGGTCACTTGGTTGGAAATTTCTCCGATTTCTATTATAACTGGTGGTTGCAAGGAAGCGCAAACGTCGATCTAAGCAACGAAGATCAGGCTGTAAATATGAAAATGAGTGGAGACGTCTTTGCTTTCACGGAGGACTTAGATGCGGTAAGTACATAGTTTTCTTAAGCTGTAAGTTTTCAGCAAAAAATAACTTTCACATTTCCTTTCATATTTTTCAATAAGCTGCAGCATTTTCCACAGGTTGTTAAAATGCTCTATGTACAAAGTAGCTGTACTATTCCGGTTTATTTTAACCCAAGATCTGTAAACAAAACGTTTTTCTTGTAGGTATTTACCAGTTATTTCTCGAAGCCAACAAGATTTGTCTTCCGTGGATCAGTTGAGTTCAACATTACCCTTCATAGCCTTGGTAAAACAGTACCTTTAACCTTTTACTCAAGCGACGTTACTGGGAAAGCACAATTTGGAGGTGAAAAATGCTACTCTTAATAATTGAAAATAATAGCTAATTAATTTTATTCTATATCTCTCAGACAAAACACTCCATGAATGACGTAGACCAGTTTCTGGTTTATTAGAAGTAATCTTCTTGTATAGACTGCAAGCCCTTCCTTCCCTTCGCATAACTTAAAGGCACTGTGTCACGATGGTGCGCATGTGTGAGCTGTGACAGTAGCTAATTGTTTTTAAACCAATCGGAAGCGAGTAAGATGCACGCCAGGAAATTTGTTTGTTCGATTTTATACATCCCTATAATTCATATTCATTCTCTGGTATTCCTCAGATATATGTTGCAGCCGATAAGAATAACATTAACAACCCTGTCCTGCTTTGAAACAAACATTTACCTACGTGTATTTTCACATACCCAAGATAGCAAACCAGTCTCCGATCCGCCAACAAAAATAATTTGTAAACAAATCTTACTGGTCTCTCTGTTTGAGAGAACAACGCAAAGTTAAGCATAAACAGGAGCCCATCACTATGGCATAAATTTCAATTGCTTATCAGCAAATAAACAAATTCCTTCCCAGTCGTTGCGCGGGTGTTTCGCAAAACAAACGTTATCGATTTCAACACATAAAGAAACCAGATAATAAACGGAACACTCAGGTAACAATTTATCTTTTAAAACATCAATTCTAAAACATTTCCTCTCATACAGCAAAGATACAAGGAACATTCCGAGTGAACCACATCGATAGGTTATAAAGATCGCGCGGCCTGTTGTAAAAAATATAAGTAGTTTCTGGTATGCAACTACAGATCGGAGTCGTAAATCGAACTCCCGTTAAAACGTTTCGTGTTCGATGGATTCTTTCCCCAAACCTTACATGACTTCCTGTACAACAAAAGATTGCTGGGCTTTCTCCTCTCTGATTCCAAGCACACGAGAGGATAAATTGTTGCAGACAATCGGAAGTCATGTCCAAGGGGGGGGGCGCTCCCATATGAAAGGGCCGGAAATGCTCGTCGGAAATTTTGAATTAAGCGCCTAAAGGAGACCAATCTGGGCGTAGCTCAACCTTTTTTTGACCCCTAAAGGCGATCATTTTAAACTTTGATTACATGAATCGGGTTAATAAAATGAATTGAAAATATATAATTTTTTTAATATTTCTTCGCGTGCAACCCTATCAGAGACCTAAAACACCCTAAAAGAGACCGAAAAGTGAAATTTACACCCCTAAGCGAGACGACGAGCATCTCTATCCCTGTCATATGGGATTCCCCCCTCCCCACCTCCCCCCAACTTTCTTTACATATTTAACGTTCAAAAACTATCTGGAAAAGGTAGCAATCGGGTCAGTAAATTAACCGTTAACAATAGATGTTTTCTCTTTCAATGTCAGGAGTCACGTTTTTGGCATCAGGTTTCAGTGATGACTGCCAAGTGCCACAGGGATTCGTTTTCGCTCTTGAACGATCCTCAAAAATTTTCAGTGCAAGTCCCTTAGCTTATATCATCAGGCCCGATGGTGGCCTGAAATATCTGCAAATCTACTATTCAGTGACTGGTGGCCACGTAGTCTCAGCGCAGGACAATAAAAACAACCTAAGGTTTGTGGAATGGCAAGCGCAAGAAATTAAACGTACTCTCCTTGCTGTTGGAAGAACTGTACCTCAACTGCAATTCATCACAAGGAGATGGGAAGCAGTAGCAGACGAGATGTTAGCTGATGTGACCAAAGCTCGACACCTTCTCTCCTCAGCTTCCGATTGGCTGGAGCTGAAAGTGCTTGTGAAGCAGCTGGATGACGACCTTGATGTCACATCTCGCGCGTTTGACCTTCTTATTGCTAAGCTGCAGCCCTACAGGAATCAAACAAGAGTAAACAGTTTTATCCAAAGTTTCATTAAATTAGGGGCAGACCTCCCCAAGGCTATCTCTCTTTCTTTCTCCAAGTCTGTTATTCAGCAGAACTTTATAGGTTTGCGATTTCTTTTGACTGCTCAAATATGCCACAAAGAGCTCTGCTTTGCAAACATAGACTCAAGTATCTGGTCCCTGAATGGCAGCGATTGTCACACCAACCCATCAAGGCAAGAAACTGGTTTACTTGTTGAAGGAACTGCTCTGAATACTATCTCTCTCGGTAGTCTAATAACACTTCCAGCCGGTGGAACGTTGGAAATGTTCCTATCGCGTGATCATGACCTTGTTTCCACAACCTTTAAGGCTGTTGTTCACCTACTCGGAATAAAGAAACACGCAATGGTAAAAATTGCTGGAAGTGAGTTATCCTTTGTCATCTCAGGCAATATGTTTGGCGGGTTTGACGCTATGTTAAATGTCACAGCTCAAATTGATAACGTTATTGACTGGGATTCCATTGTATTTAGAGTGGAAGGTAAGATGAATAGGTCGTCACACCTCCATTCCCTTCTCGAAAAGATGATAAGAAATGAAACTACTATGGCAGCGAGAGATGCAACACAAAGATTAGCGTACTCTCATTCAGCATACGTTGATGCAAAAAGAAAATCAGACTTCGTTAAAGACGTCCTAAGGTCAAAACAGTCAGTTGTGGACAAACTGAAGGTCTGGAAAGAAAATGCTGCTGAGGAGCTCCGTCTTGCACGTCTAGAATACCATCTTGCTAAACTACAATTTAATAGAACCTTCTACTTTCTCGAGAACGTCCAAGGCTACATTTGCGAGATACAAGAGTGTAATTACACTTGTTTAAATGGCTGTGTCACTCCGGACCTTTGCCAGGATCCAATAAATATAACTTATCTTCAACGGCAATGCAACACAGTTGACAAACCAATAACAATTAACGTTATACAGAGGGAGATTGAAAAACGCAGTTTCACAGTTCCTACATATAAAACCGTCCACAATAGTAACTGTAAGTGGAGCAAATATACAGGTATAAAAGGCTTCTTTGTAGGTTTGAAGGAGTTAATATTTGGTTGCTCTGATACTTCCAAAAAAGTGCCAGCTGAACCTCAAATTGTAGAGTACGACCAAAAAATATATAAAGTGAAGTCAGTGGAGCAGATCATTAAAGAAGTGAAATGCAATGGTCACACAATGAGGACAAAGCCAGGTGGATACGGACCGCCATACCAATGCTGCAAGCAGTATGGGTGCAAAACTAAAGTAATGGACCGACGGTGCATCTTAGGCAATGAGAAATGTCTGCTATCCATGACAGAACTCAAGTTCACGCTGGATGCCCTGAATGAAACATTGCAATCAGAATTCCTGTCTTTAAGATCCTGTGTGATGAAGGTCAAAGAAGCGACTTTTTCTTTCGAAAAAGTCAGAGTCCTTCATAAGAATGCTGTTTCTCAGCTGAAACATATAGAAGCACTTCTGAAACAAAAACTGTCAGTTGTGGAAATCACAAATGCTTCCATGATTCACACTCGAAAGATTGTTGACTTTGGGTTGCAAATAGCACAGGTCATGAACTCTTCAGATAATGGAAGAGTTGTAGAAGTTGACGAACTGCACTTTTCTCTTCCCGTGGTATCGGGGGATGCCAAACAGATTGTTTTCCAAACTAATGCAAGCACACTTGGTGGAAAAAAAGTGCCTGTCCGCTTTCTTCTTGATTTCGACCAAGTGAAACGTTCAATTTCTTCAGCATCCAAGGACATTATTGTCGACTTATTTGGTGGAAAACGCGCAAGAAGAAAGCGATCAGCAGCAGAAGAAGAGTCTACACATTCTTTGCATTCGGGCGGCTTTACAGATTACCCATACGTGTGCCTTTTTGTCAACAATACACACTTATACTTCAGCTACATGTTCAAATCTTTGCATACCCTTATTTCTTCCGTCAAAGTATTAAACCAGCAGTTGACATTTGGAATTCAAGGCCTTGAGCAGCTATCCCAGACAATGAATGCTACCGGTTCGTTGTTCAATGCCTCAAAAATAGCAAGTAACTTCAGTAATGAATATCTAAACAGCTCTTTCATAACAGGATTCCTAGAAGTCATACAGGTGTTAAAAGACGAGAATATCAAGATGATGAATGATTCTTCTCAATCTTGGAACGACACCTTTGAGGCTTGGAGAGCTTTTCTGGAGGTTTACACCTTAGAAAAAGGTTTTGAAGAGTGCTCCGGCACACAAGACTGCATTATATACTTTTTTGACGGAGCAAAGGAATTTTATGAGTTTGAAAACAGTCGGAGGGCACTTGAGATAAAAGACGCCCTTCCTCGACTTCAAAACGTGATTCAGTCATTAACAACTAAAGCCTTGAGTATGGAGGAAGCAGAGCAAATTCTCGTTCACGCCGACCACTTATTGAACAAAACGCTTGATGACTCCGTTTTGTGTGGTGGATCACCAAGCATAACGTGGTCGTCTCAGGGAGATGTTATTATTTTCCCTGGAGAGAGTCTTTCTCTAAACTGTAGTGCAAAGGCCGAAGAGAGCCTAACATATGCTTGGCGACGAAACGGTAAGATCATTAGCAAATCAACATATGGAGGTTTCTCGCTAGACGCTGTCACCAAGGATAATGAGGGAGCTTATGTCTGTGAGGTTTCCAACAATAAAGGAAGCACTTTGTCCAATGTCACAATAGTCAAAATTCATAGCAAACCTGTAATCACTGAACATCCACAGCCACAAAGAGTAGTCTTTAGAAGCCAAATACCAGTGACATTTAAGTGCAATGCAACTGCCGAGCCATCGCCTACTTTCCAGTGGTTCTTTCAAACCACAACATCATCCGTTATTAGAATCAACGAAACCAGACTTGTGCTATACATCGCCGACCCTCGTCTTAACCAGGAGGGTTATTACTTTTGTGAAGCATCTAATGAACACGGTAGAGCAGTCAGTCAAAGAACCCGACTAGATGTGTTAAACTACACAGTTGGCCTTCCACGATTACTGATTACTTTTAACCTGACCAACCTCTGTTGGCTAACATCTAATTCTTCCAACAGTTCTACCTTAGATTCTCAGTTATGTGATGGATTACCTTCATCACTGGACGATAATCTGACTGACAGCCTCCTAAATTCTCTGGCAACATCGCTGAATTTGTCCACCTCGTCAATCTCTGGACTGACGTACTATTCCGAACATACGTCAAAACTATATTTGTCATTCGTTATTGACTTTGAAAAAGAATTGTCAAAAGACGAAAACTTTACAATCTTTACAAAAGTAGCTGAAGCGATTGCTATTGCTGACGCAAGGATGGTCGAGAAACTTCAAAAGTTCAACTCAGACGTGCTTAGCAGGACCTTTAAAGTTTCTTGGAACTCCGCAACTCTGATTGGAGAGCCTGGAAGTATATTTGCTTACCCGTTATCACCAGAATGCCCTGAGACACAGTTCCTTAGTGAGCAAGGTTTCATCTGTGGTGAGTTGCGTCTTCTTACATTGGTCACTTTTCTAATATATGTGTTAAAAAGAACAATATCGTAAATATCATTTGTCTCAACATTCAGCCACACACACTAAGGATGCGTCAGGCGACATAGGCACCTGTGCCTGTGTTTTGTAAGTGATCTTTTTTTTTATCAAGCGAGTATATAAGCCCTGTTCAAATTTCGCTTGTTTTGCAAAGACATTTGTCAACAGGAAGCCATTCCTAGTGCGAACATTTTTCACCTACCGAAATTTTCTCAAGTGTCATCAAACGTCAAAGATGCCGTCGAGAAAGTTTGGATGCCACAATTTTTTGTCAGGCGACAAAATCGTTTGTTCCTTGACAGCTATCCTTCGTCGGGTCATCTTATTTCGCGAACGTGGCTAATTCAGTTATAGTTCCTTTCATTGACGTTTTTGGTTTCATGAAAACTTTTGGTGCCTCAGGTACGATCAAGGTTAATTGGTAACTACAAAATTTTCAAGTTACTTGCAAACGGCAAACTCTTTTTTTGTTGTAGTGTAAAAGGACCTAAAGCGACTCAAAAGCTGACCTTTCGAGCGCTAGATAGCCGCACGTCAGAATGAACCGGTTAAAATCTATACATGCATGTGTACGACTCTGTTTTTCTTGGTAGACTTCGCTAAAAGAACTAAGTGAACTAAAAATTGACCTCGATTCATCAAGTCAATATACAGCAGGACGCAGTTGGAGAAGTATAGAGAAATCAATAACGCTACCTAGTAGATAGAAATTAATCTGATGTTTAATGTTCGATCTACCTTTGGAAAAACTGGGACAAGAAGAATCGCGTCACCATGTAGATTTTCTGTCTCGCCCGTTATCTCCGTTAATTGTTTGGCCCCGACTTGAGAGAGAGCTTTCCAAGAAAAACGACATTTTTTCTCATGTTTAAAAATCCTAATACATATCACGTTAAGCTGGCTTAACTCGTTCGCAGTTTTGTTTTGTTTTGTTTTTTTTCAATTACTCTCTAAAGAGAACTGTCTAAGTTATCTATTTATTTTAAGCTTAGTTAGACATGTTATTTCTTTTAGCCAACTGCCCGGCTGGTTTATACTACAGCCCTGAAAACGGCACCTGCGTTGAATGTCCACATGGTACATACCAAACAAACCAAGGTCAAAAAGAGTGTATACACTGTGGCCAAAACCTCACAACAGCTATGAAAGGAACTGTAGAAGAGAAAGACTGCATTGGTTAAGTGTCCGACTTTTATTATTTGCGCGCGTAGTGATTGCTTTGCCATATGTTTACTGAAGGTTTCATTTTATCAAAGGTCGGCAAATATCTTCGCTCGTTCTTTCTTTTTTTTCCACAAAATTCCATGTGTAATTACACGGCATATTAAAATCAAGAGAGGATCGCTGAAGTACAAAGTGAGACACAGCAAAATGCTTCGGTGCATTTATACATGTTTGTCAAAAAGACGTCAAATTTTGTCATTCTTTTGTGTGCATGATATTAAGTGCCCGGTCCTCAGTACCTAGCTTCAAGGTAAAATTTATTTTGGAATTCTGCAAGTGCAATCGAGGCAAAGAGAGCTAAATAAATATAAAAGAAAATTAGCATTGCTTTCATTTTACAATAAGATGTATAAATTGATATTAAGTGTCCGGATCAAATGCCCCGCAAGTAATTGTGTCGCACCAAAGCTGGATATGCCGAGAAAGAAAAGTAGCGTTAGTCTACTTTTGTTCGGCAGTTTCCGTTTGGTACAGCACGAAGTCGAATTATCAGTCTTTCCTCTCCAGCCTTAGATATGTTGCAGCCAGTGTTTGAACTGGGCCTCAACCTCTTTAATGTAACTATTAAACTGTTCTTCGTTTCTTAGCTGACTGTTCGAGTGGTTCATTCGCAACACTGAACAGAAAGTGCGTTTTGTGTCCTCGCGGAACTTACCAACCCTCAAGAGCTCAGCTATCTTGCATACCGTGTGTTCAAAACTTGACTACCGCAACAACTGGAACGGCGAACAATAAGCACTGCATTGGTAAGAGTCAGGAGCCCATCAAATGGAGCCTCCATCTCCATTAATTTCTTGAGTCAACCCTTTCCCGAGTAGATTTATAAATAGAACGGCTAGTTTCCCGCGAAAAGTGTCATATTTCCGTGAGTCACTTATGTCACCGTGAAAAAATAAAATTGGCTGAAGTCGAACTCAGAAGCCCGTCTTTCGACCGTTTTCCTTTATTCCTTTACGTCCGTTTTTACAATTTTACAGCCGCTGGGATCTGGGTATTATGAAATAAAAGTTAATGAATTACCCAACTGAGACTGAGCATGAAGCGATGGGACAAGGGCAGCGAACTGAGGATCACGGAAAGGTTATCTTTGCGAGTGTTTTTTTTTTGCCGTCATACACCCCACATTTAAGCATGCACCTTGAAAAGAGTCGACGATTAAACGTTCTGTGGACGATTTGAAACTTTTCGATGATCAGCGACGAAAAAGTGCCAGGATCATATGATTTTTGTCATCACCGAGGAGTGGATTTCGCCAGTTATGCACCGCGTGCAAAAGCGATGACCTAAGTAGCAAGTAACGAGGAATGCTTCAGTCACGAAATTTGAGAAATTGCAGTCTTCCTTTACAACTGGCTTGTATCACCATAAGAGTTGCCTGATAAAACTAGCGCTTGAAAATTTGAACAGAAGACAACAGTTGCTCGACCGTGAAGTTAACTCAACCGTAATTTGCTAACAGAGGAATTTGTGACCTCGCGCTCCAGTCGAAAGACCCACTTATCTCAAGAAAAACAAAATGGATTGTATCTGCACTAAAAGAATTATGACTGGCTAACAGGACAATTTTTAGCAGTTAATGTAGAAGTTTAGGCTCAATTCCTTCCTTCGAATTCGCATCTGTAGATCATTTTTTTGCGAGCAAACAATGGCTGGGCCCGGCGTTACAAAACATAGCAGGGAATCATCACACTAGCTGACGGACAAAACAACCACAAGGACTACAATTATTTATTCAGATAAACGCATTTCGGAAAAAAACCTTGAAAAACTAGAAATTTGATTAAGATTGAGTCATTTAGCCGAAATAAGAACCTTGACGCCGAATTTCCTGCTGTTTGATTAAGTACAATAGCAGTGTCATTTCGTGGTTGTGATTGGCTCTTGCCACCTTCGGCGCGCGAAGTCTCCCCTGGGAACCGTTCTAATTATAAATCTACTCGGAAAAGGGTTGACTCCAAGGGCTTGTATGGGAGATGGAGGCTCCATTTGATGGGCTCCTGTAAGAGTTCGACGTGCTAAAAATATTGTGTAAGGCACCATAACCGCCAATCGACACCTTAGAGTCAAACTTCCCTACCTGACTAAAGATCTTGTCTCAGTTAAGGTGAAAGCGTCATTGGCCAGTTGGGCGGTGACGTTAAGCCGTTGGTCTTTTCAACTTCATACGTCTTTGTATATGAAAAAGGGACGTAAAAGAGCCCACACTGCTGTTCAGCAGCAGGAGGGGAAGGGAACTAGACCCCAGAGGTGCGGTCCATCTCTCATGGGGGAGGGGACTGGAACGTACCAACAGTGGCGTCCCGGTAGAGGGTTGTCCAATACTAACAAATAGACTCCATTGGTGTTAGTGGTGATAAGAAGAGTCTCCATTGGTACCAATGGTATGATTGGTACCAATAGAAAATTATGTCATTCCAATGGTTCTATTGTTGAATATGCATCTCATTAAGGCGACTTGGATTATTTTCTCATGTGGTCTGGCTGGGTTCAGGGCATCCTCGGAGACCCAGGGGCGGTGAGTCGGCCGGGAAAAGGCGCAACAAAAGTTTTCAAGCACAGGCGGAAAAGCCCCTGGGTACCGACTCTCACCGGACCATTTCCAAACGGTCAAGCGAATGCTGGCTCCTGATTGGGAACAAAAAATGCCTTGTATTATTGTGCCCAATCGGCGAATAGCATCTCCTGAGTTCTTTTTGTGAGTTCGTACACGACGGTTATAGACTCGATCACGGCTTGTCTGGTTCATGCACCAAAGAAATGCATGCAGTCAGGAATCTTTCGGTTTGATATAAAGGCTACATTTCAAAATACTGGTAGTCTTTACACCAGAGCCTAAATAAGCTAAGAAATATTTCAAGACAAGTAAATTTTAAATTCTTCAAGCAAAAGAAAGCTTCACACGCAACCTATCTTTTTTCTTCAGGTTTTCCCACGCAACATAATTAAGATTGATTGACATGCTTCGCCTTTCTCAAAGCTTCGAAACCGCAAGTTCGCTAAGGGTGTGTTCCTTTCGGTGAATCCAAAAACGGATTTTAGATCTAAGAACGGATTTCGCGTTCCTTTCGGCAAATCCAAATCCGGATTTTTGATCTGGTGAATCCTTTTTCAAAAAGGATTCATTGGACTTGAAATCCGAAGAATCCAAATCCAGATTAACGGATTAGTGATCTACGCTGTTCCATTCACAGTGGATCCGAAATTAGTCAGATGATCCAGCGGTATTTCCAGTTGAAGTATTCCCATAGAGGCCGTAGAGTTTCCTCGTTGTTGTCATTTGCCGCAAAACATCTAATAACATTAGAGGATTGTTCCTGGTACATTAAAATATCCATAGACTAACCATTTGTCTCTAAAGATTGCTTGAAATCAGAAATAAGTAAAAATAACAAATGAATTGCTATCTAACTACAAACTCGCTTGTAGACGCGACAGGCACTCGATCGTGTTACATAAAAAAATCCGAGCTATGGAACTGGATCAAACTGGCCCACATTCTTTAGATAATTTTCAATTTTAATGCGCTTCTTTCTTTGTCTGTTTTGTATGTTCCATCGTCGCTATTCGAACTTGCGACCACTAAATTCTGCACGGTATAATTGCATAATTTGTCAAACAGTAGAAAACACGTCATTTTTTGAGAGGTTGTCGTGCATATTGCACGCGTTGGCGAAAGGTTACCAAGGTTACAAATCCAATTTCGGATTTCACGTTCCTTTCGACCGCGAAATCTGGCAAATCTAGGATCAAAAATCCGTTTTTGGATTCGCCGAAAGGAACACACCCTTCGGTTTTAATGAGATGCAAAGTAAAGTTAATTGAGATTTTGCTTAGGCCTTAATTCACACACGCATTTTTGGTTAAGTAAAACTTAGCAGCTTTTAAGTCTTACTTAACAGCCTAATGTAAAGACAACCACTGTCTACACGAAAACTAAAGGCGCTTTTCCAAAAATACAAGCTTGAGCTTACAACAGGTATTCATGCTTGCATCGATCAGGCCTTCGTAAATATTAGGGAGTTTAATATGCCACGACAGCTGACAACCACGAAAACGTCGCATGAATAGTGAAGTCACATTTTTTCAGTCTCTATCGTTATTGTTCCAACTCACTTACTTTGTCAAATGCAAGTGAACTCTTCTGGAGCTGAATTTCTATCAACCATATCCAAGTTCATAAAGGTAAAAAGCATTTTGTCATTGCTTGTTTACGTCCTTCACAAAACTTGAAATCAGGCGTTTTCACGTGGTAGTCGTGCAGTGACGGCCAAGAAATATACAAAAAAGCGTGATCCACGTGCAAAGTTGTTGTTTTGCCTTGTCAAGCTATTGCTTTTTTTACTTTCTCGTCCCCGCTTCATTTTAACTTCCTATTATTTACAATACATTGTGATCCGTCAGAAACAGAATTTTCTCAGTGCAAATTAAATTGCTCCTGCTGATAGCATCCGAAACGTTTTTCAACTCATCGGTAGTTCCTTCGTTTCTGGTTAGGAGAGCTTCGTGAACGAACCGGGCAACTGTGGCGAGATAATAACCGTCGTGTACGAACTCACGAAAAGAACTCAGGAGATGCTGTTCGCCGATTGGGCACAATAATACAAAGCATTTTTTGTGCAAAATCAGGAGCCAGCATTCGCTTGACCGTTTGAAAATGGTCCGGTGAGTGTCGGTACCCAGGGGCTCTTCCGCCCCCGCTTGAAAACTTTCGTCGCGCCTTTTAACCCGGCCCGACTGACTGTCCCTGGGTCTCCGAGAATGGGTTCAGGGCAATTCCAATGGTCCCTTGGTAACTATTAGCGCGTTTCTACTTTGTGTGAGAGCGAAAATGTTTTGTGTGGTTAGCTTATAGAACGAGGAATATTCATAATAACTATTACTGCGTTCTACTTTGTGTGAGAGCTAAATTGTTTCGCCGGCATAGATGGCTTTTCTAGAACGAAGAATATTCATAATAACTATTAGCGCGTTTCTACTTTGTGTGAGAGCTAAATTGTTTTGCGTGGTTAGCTTATAGAACGAAGAATATTCATAATAACTATTAGCGCGTTTCTACTTTGTGTGAGAGCTAAATTGTTTTGCGTGGTTAGCTTATAGAACGAAGAATATGCATAATAACTATTAGCGCGTTTCTACTTTGTGTGAGAGCGAAATTGTTTTGCGTGGTTAGCTTATAGAACGAAGAATATTCATAATAACTATTAGCGCGTTTCTACTTTGTGTGAGAGCGAAATTGTTCTGCGTGGTTAGCTTATAGAACGAGGAAGATTCATAATAACTATTAGTGCGTTTCTACCTTGTGTGAGAGCGAAATTGTTTTGCATAGATGGCTTATAGAACGAAGAATACACATAGGACAATAGAACCATTGGAATGACACATTTTCTATTGGTACTAATCGAACCATTGGAATTGCCCTGTATCCAGCCAGGTCACAAGGGAAATAATCTAAGTCCCCTTAATGAGATGCATATTCAACAATAGAACCATTGCATTGACACCAGTTTCTATTGGTACCAATCGTACCATTGGTACCAATGGACCACCGGTTTGACGAATCGTATTCGTTTGTGTATATTGGACATGCACGGCGATGCCCTGCCATAAATAGGCGAATCTTGATAAAATGAATAAATAAACTCGTGATAATTGCAAACAAGGGGAGTACGTTAGGCAGGGAGGGATGATGAGAGAAGGGGAGGGGGAGTGATAGGTGGGAGTAAGGGGGTGCAAGGAGTGTTAAGTATGATATTTATATGTTGTCATATTTTCTCGATATTCCAAGTCCCGTTTTGATCCACAAACTACAATCAAACCTCAATGCAGAAAGCTGATGAAACGTGTTCTACACAAAACATTGAGAAATGAAAATAGAAATAGATTGTAGAGATCAATAATAACCCTTTGTCAAAAATTGGCCTTCTTCAGTATGATCTCCTGAGATCAGTGTTATTGTCCCGTATTGTTTACTCTCCCACTTTGGAATGCATTGCTTTGTCATTTTGCCGGCCTCAAAAAATTCCAAAGCGTCACGTAGTCATTCCCCAATGAATCCTGTCATTCTCTCCTAGTTAGTTTTACTTGAGTCAATTATTCGCTTTTACGGTGCCGGTAACTATTGACTTCGATTCAGTGGCGTTTTTTCTGAGGTTAGTAAACCAGCTTTCGTAAGTGAGTCGTTGACAGTAATCTGCAGATTTCGCAAAATCTCAGTCGATTTAATAAGAATAAGTTAAGCCACAATCTTTGCATATTTGATTTATTGATATTTTGTACCCTTCCCAAGACTCTGAATGTTGAAGATAGCTATAGAATATTAGGCGAATGAAATTATGACTATAGGAAATCAAAAAGGCGATATGTTGTCTAATGTGTATCCCCTCATCTTGAGGTTGTTTTTCCCGGTATTCACTTTCTATTTTGTATTTCAACCAAAATTTGCAAAGATTATTGATATAATCGGTGGGGAGGTAGAAAATGCAAGAAACAGATGTAAATTGTTGTCAACGAGTTACGACCCGTGTTAAGGGACACATATGGCACTAAAGCGCGCAGGGCAGGGATATTTGTATCCCTTTCGTTCGAGGTTTCTTTTTCCTTCTCTCTGAATGTCTCTCATGGAATTTTTAGAATCATTTGACACAGTACCCATTATCAGTGATTTCAAGAGAACATAAAAGCCTCCTGGTGGTTAATGAAAACTGCATTACACCTTTTGCTGTTCATTACGAGAAAATACGCAGTCTTTTGCGTGAAACGGCAACCAATAGATACATTCATTGGCGCGAAAATACGAACATTTGCGCATAAATCAGATTCAATTACGATTTTTGCGTTTTAATCAACATTCAATAACACTTTTGGGCATTCATATGCGTCATTGGGCATACAAAAAGGAGAAATATACTTTCATTAAAGCCAAAATCAAAGTCATTAATACCATCTTGAAAGTCAATAGGGACAACTGACATACATTAAAGTGCAGACACCATTCATTAACATTTTTACGACACTGTTTGCAATTCAATAGCATTCCTGGACAACCTTAGGATGGATAAGACAAACATTAATGCGCTTGTACAATCAATTGAGTGTTCTTTACATTTAATATACAAAAATCGATTTTCAATTAAACAATAGAAATTCAAACAAATTTGGCCTGAATTTCAGTCCGTTAAATGTACATCCCTTAAAAACCTCGCTATTTAAACATTTAGGGAGGTAGGTTTGATGTCGAGAGGGGAAGCATAAGCTGTGTAAGTATGGAGCGGGAATGGCCACATCTAGGTGGCTGCCAGGCACCCCTTCATGCGCAAAGACCGCCGACTTATCGGGATCCATTTTTTCCTCGCCCGTGGTAGGAAGTCACCGAAAAACCGACACAGTATTCATTACTCCAGCAGCTCCCGAGAAAAACATTTGATAGGTACATACTGTAATATGTATTGCCATGGTCATAGTCAAGTTTCGTTGGCTGCACACTTGGCGGTACGCCCTCCACTCCCTGTCGCGCCCCACCTTGACTTCTGGCCGTCTAGGGTAAATGTATAGCCGCAGCCGTCGACGAACACACAGTGGCGAAGTACGGCGTGATTCGTTAAACAAATTCAGGCCAATTTAGGGGGGGAATTGGTTTTCTTTAATTGAAAATATATTTTTGTATATTAAATGTAAAGAGCGCTCAATTGATTGTACAAGCGAATTAATGTTTTTCTCATCCATTCTAAAGCTGTCCAGGAATGCTATTGAATTGCAAACGGTGTCATAAAAATGTTAATGAATAGCGTTTGCACTTAGATGTTTGTCTATTGTCCCTAATGATTTTCAAGATAATGTTAATGACTCGAATGTTGGCGTTAATGAAAGTATATTTTTCTCTTTTGTATGTCGAATGACGCAAATGAATGCCCAAAAATGATATTGAATGTTGATAAAAATGCAAAAATCGTTATTGAATCTGATTTACGCGCAAATGTTCGCTTTTTCGCGCTAATGAATGTATCTTCGCGCTGTTGGTCGCCTTTTCACGCAAATGAATGTGTACTTTCTCGTAATGAACAGCAAAAGGTGTACAGCACTTTTACAGACCGAAGCAGTTAACTTTGTTGGAATGAACTGATAAAATCTAAACCATGTAAACCTTAAAATATCATGGATCATGGGTGGTTCACGGGCGGGCGCACTACTAAAAAACTATGATATGACGGAGATACACATAACACTGTGAAATCGGTAGCGGCGCTCTTTGTATCTTTTATAAATTGACAGAAATCAAACTCTGAGTGGTTTCAACTTGGGAGTTCGCGTAGCAGTGAATCTCATGGTAACAGATGTTTGCTTTCTCTTCTCTTTCTTACACGAACCTTGCAGCTGACTGTCCTGCTGGTTCATACAGTTCCCTGAACAGAACGTGCATCTTATGTCCTCGTGGCACGTATCAACCTTCAAGGGGGCGGCCATCTTGTATTTCCTGCGGACTTAGCCTTACCACCCATTCAAGTGGAACAGTAGACAAAAAGCACTGTATAAGTAAGTTAATAAATTCCAACTGTAATATTTCCTGTGGCGTTCGCCATATACTTGTGAATTGATGCAGTTTCTCCTTAAACTCGGCCGTTGCCCTTTTAACGGTCGATGGTAACTCAGCCTTTAGTAACGTTAGATGTAATATATTCTCTGGATTAAGTTACAGAAGGCAAATAATACATTTTCAAATAGTCTTAGAAAGAAGATAGTTGGAAAACAGTTTATTAGATATGTACTTCAATTTTTTGGAATTTTGGTGGGTCTGTGTAGTAATGTAAATAAGGGAGGCAGATTCACAAAGGCCCGGGTTTGATTCTGGGTTGCGTTCTTCTTTGTTTTTGTTAGAAACACTCTCTATAACAAATCAAAAATTTTCTAAGGGTACGTTCGATTGATCGTATTCCGGGATAAAAATACGCAAAAGTTTTGTCGCAGATGTCTTGTACCCTCGCTCGGTTAGCTTAATTGGATAAGGGCCGGTCTGCCGAGCGCGAGTCCGCGGGTTCAAACCCCGGCCGGACCAACACTCATGAAGTAAAAGTCATAAAATAATTGAGGAGAATGTGCTGCCTTTGTTGTGACATCTACAAATGGTTAAACATTCCAGGCTTCTCGGATAAGGATGAAAAACCGTAGGCCCTGTCTCACAGCTCTTTCACTGTTCTGATTCTTGACCATGTCACTCCTTTTCTAATTAAACTGCACTGGTTACCTGTATATTTCCGAATTCAATTCAAGATTTTTTTAACTTGTTTTCAAGGCGTTAGAGGGCAAGGCGCCTGTGTACATTAGAGATCTTCTGAAACCGAACGTTGCTAGAGGTTATACTTTACGATCAGATAAGCTGAGACTGCTGCAAGGCCCGAAAACAAAGTGTAAATCCTTTGGAGATCGAGCTTTCGCCCATTCAGGTCCATCGTTATTGAATGCCCCACCTTTGGAACTAAGACTTATTTCAAATATTGACTGTCTTAAAACCTACTTGTGCGAGAAAGCTTTTAAAACTGAATGATTTTGATTTTGATTTCTCTTTCAATGTTGCAATTAGGTAGCGCTTTAGAAAATTAAACTTGATAGCGGAGCTCCGCGCGCGAAACGCGCCAGCGGGGCACCACGGGTGAATAAATCTACCCATCCCAGAAAATTTGGTAATCACGTGACCAGCCGACCGACCGACCGTCCGTCCACACCACAGGCATACCAATGTTTACTCTCACACTTTGTAGCTACTTTGGGAGCTCGGGGGAAAGCTTATTGCGCATCAATGTTGTCATCAATTGACAGCTGTCAAAACAGAGTATCCGCTGACCAGTATCACCTGACCGTATCGCGAGCTCAGGTGTGGACCCATCAAGGTCGAGTATTTTTGAAGTTATCCGCTGACAATTTACTCGTTTTCAAATGATCGCAGGCTCACGTTTACTTTTTTTAAAATTCATATCAAATATGTTGTGTTTATGTCAGTATCGCCAGCACTATTACGATTTTGATTTCAAACTGACCTCAGACGCAAAAATTCAGCCAGTTTTTTTAAAATATAGGCGGGAAAGACCTTTTCTTACCATGGTCACGCTCCACGTCCAATTTTTATGCTCTGATTGGTTGAAATGTGACAGATGAGTTCATGCGTAAAATTTATGCAGCATCTTGAAAGTTGTTTACTTTGACAGCTGAAGCTGACAGAGGTTTGAGTCAACTTGTGATGTTTTTAACTGTCTCTTTCCACTGGATGTACAAAATGAAATACAGCTGCTATCTAGAGTGTTCTCTTATTCATGGCTGGTTTGTTTATTGGGTTTTTGGTTGAGAAATGCGTCGGTTGTCAAAGCCGATAATCCGATGTCGGATGGCATCGTTTTTGTTTTTCACCTTGCTGGATGCGTACGAGAATTATAAAGGCTCAAGCGATCCTTGCCTTACTTGATAGCTTTCAGGAGCTGCATCTCGAAATATGGTAAGCCTGAGTAATTATTGTATTTAAATATAATTTCATGAAGTCTAGCGGCGCAGTTTATGAAGCTAGTTTATGCACGTTTGTATTAAGATTTGACTGAGACTGAGATTCTCCCATTTGATGTGCATTGCCTCCTTTCACATAAGTTGTAGTTTGTTGGGTGCACAATCCACAATGGAAAAGCAATTCTTATTAGCTAGACAACGACATACCTGGGATTGCTGCAAATGCTGATAAACGTGTGAATTCCTATCCCTGCTCAGATGCTCACGAACGCGCGTCGAGAGATGTCGGCTAGTCTCGCCGATGTAACAGACATTACATCCTGCACACAAAAACTTGTAGACAACGCGCGAATGGAGATCGAGAGGAACAGGATCCTTCACACTAAACATACTATCAACCTTAAAAGAAGAAAAAGCTAACTTAATTTTCATGTTAATGCAATAGCGCTGAACGAGTTTGCGTAGCCTTTTCTGTGCTTCTCTAGTGCAGGAGCCTACATAGGGTGACTTAAAATAATAAGTTGAAACGGCTTTCTGAACCTGACAACTAGCTGATGGGCGGATTGTAGCTCTACTGACGTATCTATTGATGACCTTTTCCACCATGCTAACAGGGAAAAGGTTCTTACGTAGAATAAGGGTAAGATCTTTTATATCCTTATGAAAGCCTAGTCAAGAATTGTTGATTTTGTAAACCCTGTCCACCAGTGTTCTAACAAGACCCTTTTTGTAGGAAAATGAAGTAAAACTAAAATAGTTGGTTAGGAGCCCCGTGACTTCGACTGTAAAGACGAAACATCAAATTGACTGGGACTCTGCGACATGTATAACGTATTCTACAGACTACTATCAACGTCTTACTTTAGAAAGCTGGTTTACTAACTTAGAGCAAACGCCACTGAATCGTAACCAACAGTTACCAGCGTCGTACAAACGACTTATTGACGAGATCAAGAAAAACTTAACTGCGAGAGAACAACTGGAGAACTGACAATTTGACTAAAAATAGACGACTGTTTAACTGTCATAATAGACGGATCGAAACGCACCAATCACTGATTACGAGTCTTCATAGCCAATAACATCACGGCTTAACTGACAGACGACCAGTAACATCCCGACATAATTGACCAATCATATCAATAACCAGAGTATAATACCATCAACTGACGTGATACAACTCACTTTGACTCTGAAGATGACTACCACACAGGTTGTCGAAACGTCAGTCACTGTCAACAACAACAGTCCTATTCAGGACTACGTTCACCCGGACGATCAAACGATTTAACAAATTTTAAACTAGAACTGTGCTTTAATTAAGGCCTTGATTTTTGAATACTTGTATTGTATTTGATGTTTTTATTTAGCATTTTCTATTTCTGTTTGAGATTTCTAATATAGGGCTAACCTCGCAACTTCCTTTTCAAGATGTCTTTTAATATTATGTTTTTCTTATAAATAGGCTTGTTTACATCTTGAATAAAGTTAGTATATATGTATGTGGGTATGTATGTATGCACACATCCTTATTCCGGAATATGGGCAATTGAACACGCCCTAAGTGTCTTGAAGCGACCGTTTAAGAAAGGGAAATTTGCCTCCCTACAAGGACAGACAAAAAGCCAGCCTCGTGAAAAATGACCATGGTTAAGGTTAAGTGGCTGGCTGACGTGGTGTCATAGTAAAAAGGAGACTTAAAAACGGTCTTGGATAGAAACGGGCGAGGCCGAGGGCCGATTACTGCAATCGGATTCAGGATGACTTTCAAGTTGATATGACTTTTAATTTACTATTGCAATGACATTTATTTTTATCTGTAGGCGAGGTTGTGAGGAACAGAAACAGCATCGTGTCGCACAGGGAAATATTGCAAGTGGAATATGGAGGGCACCTCCTTAGTTGGAATTCTTAACCCTGTTATATTACATCTGGATTATCCTCTCAGTTATTTACTCAACCCCACTACCCTTCGAGCTTTTAAATACTACCGAGGGTAAATAAAGGCAATTTACTTCTATTTTTTGTATTGACACAGGTCCTGAATCGCCGACTTCTTCCTCGTCTACACTTACATCTCCCTCCAGAATTACTGAAGTAAAGGTATTGAATGCTTTCTTCGTGTATTGTGTGTCGCTTAAATAAGGCAATAGTAACAATAGAATCCACTGACAATAAGATCTTGAGCTGCAGTAAAACGGGTAAAAGAAACCTGCCACTTACTGTGTTCTTGTGTAAAGTCGTTACACGAGACCTGCGAACAAGCCCTGGAAATCCTCAAGAAAAGAACTATACAGTCGGCTCTCTCGTAAGCGACGACTCTTGGTGCACGGGAAAGGTGTTCGCTTACGGGAGGTAGTCGCTTAAGGGAAAACGTAACAAAACACTTGCAGTCTTAATTGTTTAACGTAATTAGATAGACACGAGTGTTTTACTGGAAAATATACCACTCGTAAAATTCGTAAAAACTACATCCGGGACCCGAGTGGTTTATTGTCCATCACACGTGAATTTATCGATGACGTAATTTCGGTAATTACCCTCTATTATTTTATCGATGTCTTTTCGTCTACATAATAAAAAGAACATTACACGGCGGCTAGAAGATATCAATTTTATTTTCCTCGTAGCAAAAACAATATTTTACGAACGAGCGCAGCTCGTTCGCAAAATACAGTCGACGCCCGATAACTCGAACCTTCAAGGGAAATCGAAAAAAGTTCGAGTTTTGGGTAGTTCGAGTTATCGGGAGCTCGAAGAAAATAGCCGAGAGTAAGGTAAAAAACAGTTTTTACTGCACAGTGAACATTTTAATCAGATTTAATTGTACAAATGTCAAGTGAAAATTAAAGGATACTTCTAGATTATAAATCAGAACGTAACGTAACAAAACATAGCCTAAATAGAGCATGCGTTTTACTGTTTTGAGAAGTAAAGCTGCTTCACGTTAGCCTGTGACAATCAACATCAGCCTCCATTAGTAAACTATACTCCTACAACACGTTAATAGGAAGTCCAAAATTCAATATTTCGGACACCAGTAGACGGCTTTTTCCCGACTTTTTAAAGGCTCAAAACATGGTTCGAGGGGAAACGAAAATTGGTT